ATTCAAGACTGAAATGGCACTTAGAATCTGAGCAGATCTTGGTGCCAGAGCAGGCTGGGTTTAGGAAATGTCACAGCATAGAAGACCAAGTCACCTACCTGTCACAAGCTGTAGAGGATGCCTTCCAAGAGAAGAAAAAGGTCCTGGCGGTATGGGTTGACTTCAAACAAGCTTTTGACAAAGTCTGGAAAGATGGTCTCATTGCAAAACTGAAGAGAAATGGAATCCAAGGAAACATGCTAAAATGGATCCAATCCTTCTTACACAGCAGGAGAACTAGAGTCAGTCTTGATGGCCAGCAGAGTCGAAAAGTGTTACTTCGGCAAGGAGTACCACAGGGAGGAGTTATCTCTCCAACTCTCTTTCTTGTGTATATAAATGATCTGGTGAAAGACCTCCCTACGGGAGTAAAAGCTGCCCTGTATGCAGATGATCTGGCACTTTGGTGTACCGATGAACACACCACAGTGGCAAATATAAGAATGCAGCGAGCAGCAGATCTCTTGATGACATGGGCAGAAAAATGGCATGTTGCCATCAACACAGACAAAACATCCACAACGCTTTTCTCTCTTTCCCCCAGGGACAAAGCTGCTAGTATTCACCTAGGAACATCCTTGCTAAAGGAAGAAAGCTTCCCCACTTATCTTGGAGTAACATTTGATAAAAGGCTCACATGGAGCAAACATATAGAAAATGTAGAAGGGAAGGCCAGGAGACGACTAGGCCTACTTAGAAAACTGGCAGGTACAGGATGGGGAGCGAATGGAAAAACCCTAAAGAAAGTTTTATAATGGAGCGATAAGACCCCACTTGGAGTTTGGTGCAACAGCATGGTCAACAGCTGCTAATTCCCATCTACAATCGTTAGACAGAGTGCAAAATCAAGCTCTTAGACTCATCACAGGATCCATGAAAACTGCACCAATCCTGAAGATGCAGAAAATAACTGCAATGCAGACACTGTCCTATAGAAGAGACACTAAAACTATGATCCAGATGGAGAAGTTTAATAGTATGCAGTCACACCCAATGAATAAAAGGTTAGATGATCTGGCATTAGGGCGTCTCAAGCGTAGCAGCTTTGTCCATCGGGGGAAAAGACTTAGAAGACAGTATCAAGCTGATCTACCTATTAGAACAACACCGCTGAAACCTACCCTATACCCTGTACCTTGGGAGCAAGTCAGTGACACAATACAGATAATGACTTCAGTCAGTGGATTCACAACTGGAGATGAGTCCAATGATCTTCAAAAACGAACAGCTGCTCTTAGCATGATTCATGAAAACTATCCCGAACAGTCATGGATACATGTTTACACAGATGGATCAGCAACCAGTGCGGTTAAAAATGGGGGTGCTGGAATCTTTATTACATACCCAGGCAACCACCGCCACACAAAGTGGATACCCACTGGTAAATTCTGTTCCAACTACACAGCAGAGATTGTAGCACTAGAGCAGGCTGCCGAAATGTTACACAACACCAGTTCTGACTGCCACCAAGTGGTTATATTCACAGATGCGCTTTCAGTGCTTCAAGCCCTCAAGAGTGGCAAACTCCCTCACTTGAGATCTGAACTTGGCAAGGTGGCTGCCCAAAAGTGTACTGTACTCCAGTGGGTGCCATCCCACTGTGGTATACCAGGAAACGAAACCGCAGATAAACTTGCTAAAAAAAGGGGCAGAATGTGATCAGGAAGAGAATGCAGTAACATACTATGAGAAGAAAAGGGCCATCCAGGCTATTAGAAGTGAACAGAGTCTGGCCAAAGATGACTACCACTTACTTGACCGGCATGGGCAGGTCATTGTCCTACGTCTCAGGACAGGACATAACAAACTTAACCAGCATATGCACAGGCTTCGTCTAAGTAGTTCACCTTTGTGCCCTTGTGGGCTATGTGTGCAGACTACAGAACATGTCCTGCAAGACTGTCCCTTGTTCGGCCCATTAAGAAAGGAACACTGGCCCAGTGAGTCATCACTGTACACTAAGTTGTATGGGACTAAAAATGAACTCATAAAAACAGTCAAGTTTATCACAAGAACCTGTCTGTCGGTGTAAATCAGAAAGCGAACACAAGAAGAAGAAGAACTGACATCAGAGGGAGACAGTCATCATTTTTCGGCCATGTTATGAGAAGAGGGAAAATAGAACATGTTGTGACCACTGGAAAGATCTGTGGAAGGAGGGATAGAGGAAGACAACGAGAGAAGATGCTTGACAGTCTTGTTGCATGGCATGGAGGTGTGTCGGCACACGAACTGATACATGCTGCAGGAGATCGCGGATTATGGAGAGGCATGATCGCCCACGCCAGTCGGCAGGGCACCTGATGATGATGATTCATGCCAGGGAATGCAGGCATGCAAGGAAATGAGCAAGCTGATAGGCTGGCTGGTAAAGCTACTGTTGAGGACAGTGAGCCATGGACCAGGCTGATATACTGAATGCTCAAAGAAAAGTAAGATGTTTGTGAGAACCAAGTAATGACTGTGAATCTGCAACCATGACCAGACTGCAAGAGCAGCATGTTAAAAAGTGTGTGGCCAGACAAAAGTACTATGCAGGAAGCCAAAGAAGAATAAGAAACCCGCACAGCACTATTATCGTCAGCTGCTACACACTGCAGGATTGACTGAGGAGGGGATCCGAGCACTTATGGACTAAATGGTTCGATGTGGAATGAAGATAATTTGATGACTAACTAACTAATTATCTTAACTTTCAGCTTTTTATCAATTAAATGCATCCGCGTAATTTTTCAGATATCCAAATGATGAATGTTAAAATATACTCAGGCCAAAAATAAGATGTATGTTTACCCATGTGGATTGCAGGCACCATTTGGGGAAAAGTAGGAATAGATGCACTGCACTCTAATAACCATGGCTCCTCAAAGGTGACCATTTAGGGTTGTTTCCTTCAAAAACAGAGTGCATCTCCTGAGAGACAAGGAACCAATAGTCTGGTATACAAACAAAACCAGCTCTGTACAAAGTGCAACCACAATTCAAGTGCTGGAACAAGCTCAATGTCCAGAACTGGACAAAATAAACTAGTTTACAGCCATTGATGGCTAAGAAGGAGAAAAATAAGAGGCAAGGCAAATTCCATGCTGCATAAACAGAAACACATGCTAGCGAGTCTGACTTCCATGACAATATGTAGAGGGAGTTTAGTTAAGCTGAGGTGATTTAAGAACTGACATCACCACATTCGAGGCATTCCTATAAGCGCTCCACTTTCATCTTCAGCAGCCAGTGCAGAGTTTCAATACTAATGGTGCCAGTAGCATTCTGATTAAACATCTGTCTTGCCTTTCCTCAGAACCCCTCGTCACTTCCCACTGCATCAATCTCATCAGACTGTGGTGATCCATCTGCTTCTCCGAACTATACACGCTTTCACACAAGGCAGTAACCACGTCTGCCTTATCATGCATCAGTATTCTAAAAAGTTGTGCAGAGCCAGCCAGTCTGTCCGCCTGTTCATTTCCCAACACAGCAGTGTATCCCAGAGAACAAAATCCAGACAATACTCCTCACCCATTTCCTCCACAAACAAGCATGCCACTCTGCATGAAGCATGCCTGTCCTGACCTTCCTCAACATACTTTCTGATTCAGTTACAACCATGATGTATGTGTGTTGTGATCTCTAACCAGCAAAAAGCTCCATTCCTAACCCTTTGAGTCCCAAGGAACGCATCACGCGCTAATTTGTTACTACTTGGCGGCCCAAACAGCGCCTGACGTGAGACGGTTTTTAATTTACCACTTATAGGTAATTACACGCAAACCGCTCAGTTTAAACTTCCTTTCTGGTTCTCAAGTGTGTAGTGAATACACGTGGAGTGGATTCGTTTGGGTCTGGTGAGAATTTTTAACGCTTTAAATCGATATTTGTGTGGTCTACTACGTTACCAAACAATTGTAGAAAACAATATGTCCGATCAGTCATCGTCTTCATGCCCATCAAAGCGATTTACTGCTTTAGAATCATCAAATTTGATAAAACAGTGGATCGATTAAAGTAATGTGGAGTTGGATAATGATAGTAGTGATGTGAAATTTCCCCAAACCGTTGACGAGTCAAGTTTTGATGAGGATGTGTGCGTAATTTACCTCCTGCTAAGAGGACAAAACTGACTAATTCTGCCATGGCAATACAAGAGAAGCACCCCGTAACGAGACACCAGCTAGTCCAAATGTCAGCGCTTCTAGTACTGCTATCCATATCATCTAAAACCATAGATATATATCTATGAACAGATTGACATGTTTACAGTGCCTTTACAGTTTTTTTCTATGTGAGGAATTCAATTGTTTTTAGAAAAGTCACTGTGCCACTGGAGAATATATTTTGACGTGTTATGGTAGTGATTTTAAAATTGCTATGGAACAACAACTATTGCACATTTTGCTTTAATATTGGCTGTGCATACTTGTAAGTGGTGTACCTTCCTTTGTGATGCATTTTGGATATACTATATCAAGAATTTTGGGATCAGAGTCTGGGTAAGTGGAAAAAACTTGTTCATAATTTACTCACCTCTCAAACTAAGTCACTGTTTTCTCTACTAAATACTAACTAACATTATAATTGTTTGTTGTAGCAGTATGCTAATGTTAATCCTTATCCATTTATGTTTAACTTTAGGTATGATATGTGTATGTTGGACATCAGCTGCAGCTGTGTGGTTTGTTTTGAAGTGCTGCATTTGTTAAAAGTCAAAATCATATTACCTCCCCTTGGGCCTCTGATGCAAAACCCCCTGGGACTTAAAGAGTTAAGCTGGATGTTATATGCAGAGGGAAACTACTAGCTATATAATTTGTGTAATTCAGTGAAAAAAAACTGTTTTTGTGTGTGTGTGTGGTTTATTATTTAATAATATAATCTCTTCTGTTGTAAGCATATGACAAGAAATATGTCAAGCAAATATTGTTTCTACCCTTATTATCTTATTAGTGTGAAGAGATTAAACTTACAGTCTGCCTGTCTTTTTCAGGAAGAAAAATCCACCCACTCCAAGAGCTGCCACTCCTAGAATGCCCAATACAGCACCGACTGGAGCTTTCCAAGAACCTAAACATGGAAACAAACAAAAACATTTTGATACGATAAGAGACAATGCTGGCATAGTTAACGACAATCTATTAAATGCTCTTATAGACCTTTATGATGCCATTGAGTTAGCAGGCATGTAGGGCCAGACACATATTTTCATTGACCAATGGACACCAACCACAACTATCAATTGCTCTTCAAAGACTAAAAACAACTAAATAACAGACAGAATTACACAAATTATATTTTTAAGAGCATTCATCTTTCCTACTGCATCATACGTCTGTGAGACCTGGACACTTACTAAACAAGCTGAACAGCTCATAAATGCTTTTGAATACAAATTTTATAGACAAGTTTTAAGAATATCATGGGTAAAGTAAAGAACAAGTGCATCCATACTCCCAGAACTAAATACTGAAGAAGGTTGTCTATTAAAGGCGATAAAACACAGACAATTTAGATATTTTGGTCACTTGAAACATCACAAACGTTTAGAGTGGACAATAATGGAGGGTTATATGCCTGGGAAGAAAGGAAGAGGAAGGCCAAAGAGAAGGTAGTTGCAGAATGTGGCCGATGATCTCCAGATGGGTGTATCGGACACAGTACATCTTGGCTGTGATTGAGAAGTTTTCCGGAAAGTTGTTATGGTAGCAAGGTTCTGCAAAAGACATGCTACTGACTGAATGGACACAATGGATGAGATCAACATCATGCCAGCTGCCTTTACTTTCAGGGGCATTTCCTCTTACCAGTTTTATGCTGAGTTTACCTGGAAACCCAGGCAGTTTATAATAACCTGTCTCTGGATTTTTCTGAAGATGAAACTGCATCATGCTGTTTACAGCATAGTTCCAATATTTTTCCCTTTCGGTCGACACATCCAACTTCCTCAGGCATTTTTGACCTAGTTAGTTCTATGGGACATTGCACAGCCTTACCCGGTGTGCTGTCATCTTTTGTTTCCTAGTGCACAAGTGGTACCCTCCATTAGGCTGCTCCAGAGCAGCCAAGAAATGATGTTTAGCCCTTAAGAGAAGGCAGGGACAAAACCTGCGCATTCCAAAGAAGCTTCCATAAATGCAGAGCTGATACATGGCACTCTGATAATGGACTCACCCATGGAATCATCACATTGTGTTCATGACTTTTTAACATTAATTCTATTTACTAAACATATCCCTCATCATGGGCTACTTTTTTAGAAGTGTGATAGGCTGGAAATGATGAGGACTACTGTTCAGCAGCTCAACTATTTTGATTTAATCTGGTTTAAAAATGACCAAGAAGCCACAGGAACAGCTTTTAGTTTAAGATGGTAAAAAGCGGAAAAAACTGGCCACTGAGTATAAAAGACTTTGTTTAGTCTTTCAGCAATCGATTTTGACTTCCGGACGGACCCTGTGGAGACTTACCCGGCTGTTGTAGCTCCCTGTGGAGACCTACCCGGCTGTTGTAGCTCTGCACTTAGGGCTTGCCAGCATGGGTGTGGGTGACTACAGGGAAAGGTCGATTGTCTGACTGATTTCCCTGGCTGATCTCAGGGTACATTTCAATTGGTTAGGTGGTGGTAGATTTGATTTCTATTGTATATCCTCGCTAAGAGAAAGTTTGATGGGAGGTCACTATAAGTGATTTGTTGGTCTGCTAGTAGCCATCAGTATTTTGTTATTCATTGGTTTACTAGATGCTTGGTTAGTTTTCTGCTGGTCAGCTTGCATACCTTCGGTTAGTAATTCTTTAGTATACTTAGTGTTCGGAGTGTGTCATCAAGTATTACTGTTTTATGTCATCAAGTAAATAAAGTTTCTGTATTTGTTGACTTACATTCTTGTTATTTTAGTTAGTGTGCCTAGGTTTTACTGTTACACTATATTAGACCCCACACAAAAGATTTCCTGTCAGGGTAAGATATTTTTGATCTCACCCCCGCCTAAACAAACTTTTTCTCTTTTTGTTTCTTGTCACCGAGGTAGCTTATGATTGGGTTTTTGCTCCCACTTGACACGTGACATTGTTAAGAGCTCTTGTTGGTTCAGAGTCGAGGAGATTTCAAGGAGTGGATTTTCATATTATTCTTTATAGTTATCTCTTCTCTTTCTTCAGTTACAAGAAACTCCCCCTCCCCTTCCCGATTTGCTTCTAATACAGAAGCCAACAGAAGGCTGCCTGCAGAGATGTGATTTCAATTACCTAAACAAAATAAGTGCTTTTCTTCTTTTGCATGCTACCACTAGAAATTACAATAACACCATTAAAGGAGCAGCTGGCCTAGTGGTTACAACATCAGGCTCTCATGCGGGAGACCTGGGTTTGACCCAGAGTAAGGTGAGGGAGTTTTTCTGCTAACCAGCAGTGTTCGTGGGACAGCACTAGCCATGCGGCCCTAATGCTTCAGGCTCAGAACCCCCACCCCCTGTCTACACCACACTAAAAAAAAAGTGGCAAATACTGACAGTAGTGACAATTACAGTTTTGATAGTGACCATTAGAAACAACAAAAAACACTACCGCTAGAATCTAAAAAAGAAAAGGAAAAAAACTAGAAACCACTAGAAATCAAAAGCATATTACCACTACTGCTCTCTCCTGCTGAAGCTTGTGCCCCAGGTATACCTGTGTTGCTGGTTGTACCTGTCGAGGGACTACCTTTAGTAGGACTGGAACTACTTGTGGTGGAGGGTTTTGTGGTAGTAGTTGGTTCTGTCACATTTGCTGCATAGCTACAGGTGGTTCCATGGTAACCGTTGACACATCTGGAAATCAGTCACAAGTTGTTATATGCGGTTTAAATCTCACTAAACATCAGACAAAATTTTCCCATGATTTATTTTGAGGACTAAATTTAGAAACACTATTTACACACAAAAAAAGCTGTTTGTGTCCTCATAGCTATCATCATAATCTTTTCCATCAGTACAACCATCATCTTTAGTATCCTTTTCATTATTTTTCTTCTTCTTACAACCTATGCCATCTGGTGTTGGTGTTCATGTCTATACACAACACACATTCCTGATGTACCCCACTTGTTATCTCTATCTGTGGTGTCAGTGTTGATGTATCTAACTTTCACTGTTTGTTCCCAGTAGAGGTAACTAATAATAACTATGAACCTGTTTAAATCATCACTATTCACTGGCATCAGAGAGAATGGCAAACGACAGAGAGACAAAAACTGTATACAAGTGAGTGAGCTGAATAGCTGCAGATCATAAGGCAGACCAAGATAATGGTAGAGAGATAATATCCAAGAATTTAAATAATGCATACACGAACAATACATTGCACAATTTATTGCCAGGCATATTTCGCATATATATATATATGTATTGTTTGTGTCTGCATTAATTAAATTCATTATGGGAAAAAGTTGTTTTGAATATCCAAGAAGACACACAAACACTTCCGGTTAAGAGGAATGACAGGCGTGGTCACTGCTTTTAGTTGTGGCAAACTGTTTGCTTCTGACGGACTGACTGGCCATTGCATTTTCACCTATTTATAGACTGAAAGAATATAGTTTTGTCACCCAGCTACTGAGCTGAGAGCATAGAATGACAACGTGAGCTGCTGATTTCATTGGGAATGTGACCAAACATTGCGTTGTGAACTGTAGAATCAGAAAATAGTGCGTGGCAGTAATGGTGGTGCCTTATGCGATTAAAACGGATCGCGTATTTGCTGATCTGTCTATAACTACTGCTTCCATCAAGATGAACTGCATTTCTAATGTCAGACTGTGTCAGCACTTCCGATGGCTGCCTGATATTTTTTAAGGTGTGAGTATGCTAGCGGATAAGCTGAGGCAGCAGTCTGTGTCAATTTTTTCACAGGGGACAGTGATGAAGATTCTGTGTGTTTTGTGATGACCCATTTGTTATGAAGCTAAAACTAAGATAATCAAGATTACAACGGAATCACCAGCTGGAAAGAGAAGGTCAGTCACAGAGATGAACTAAAGTAGGTGATATCGACATCAATGAACCTCTAAGACTCGGAATGCTAAAGAAGAAGAAGAACTATGGGATAGAATGGATTAAATTAATAATTGGAATAAACTGGATGTTAAATACAGGACAGAATACACTCAGAAATAGATTTTTAAGGGAGAACGTAGAAACTTTCTGATGTCATTACCATCATGAATTTTCACTAATGAATTAAAAGACATGAGTAGAGCCCAGCACTGCATGGGAGCACTGGCCATTTTCATTTTTTGTCCGTGTAGAACCTCTTTAATGTCATTAATCCATTTTCTCCTTGGGTGTCCTCTTGATTTCACATCAGATCCTTTAAGGTGAAGAATGTAAGTCAGTAGTTGTGGTTTTTTCTAATTGTCAGCTTCTCAATTAAACTGGTGCAAACTGTTGTTCTCACAACCTGTCTGGTGGTATTATTTCTGCCTTTTTCTAATGGTAAAGTTGGTGGCCTTATCAGGTATGTCATCTCAAAGGTGTTAATTTTATTTAGGTGAGCCTTTGATAATGTCCTTGTCTGGCACTGGTAGCACTGTGTTAACATTATACTCTACCATTATTTAACTCTACCAGACCGCTTTCCCTGTAATTTACGAATCTGCCACTAAACCGCTGTACCTAGTTTTCAGTGGTTTGTGTACTATATGAAAAAAATGTTTCACAAACTAAAAATAGCCAATCAGTCGTAGTCAAAACCCGTGGTTAGTCAGTGCAAATGGCTGCCCCATGTGTTTAAAATGACTTTTTTTTTTTACATTTAAAAATTCTGAAAATTCAAAATGAAACGAGCGGCTGATGAACCAAGCACTTTGACAGGAAAGTGAAGTAGGTCTAGGCTTTTTACAGTCCAACAGGTGATTGAAACTTTGGTTGATTCAGTCTCTGAGTCACAATTTTGACAAGAAAACATTTTTAGTTCAAGTGACACAGACTGTGAGAGCTCAAGGGATGAGGAGAATCTTGAACCTTACTGATCTAGAGCTAGATCGTAGTAAGAGTAAGGGGGGCATGTCCCTCAAACAGCTGAAGGGGAAGATCTAGATGGGGATGAAGGTTGGACAAGGAATTTTGTATCATCAAATACAGATCTGAATTTCAATGATGAAATTTAAACCTATTTTCTTCAATGTCTACACGTTTCATCTTATTCTAACCACTTGTTTGCGTGTAACTAATCTTTTTTTATATCATGTTGGTTTATTCGCTGTAATGCCCAGGAGTCCAGGTATAGGGGACAGTTAGGTTCAGGGCCTCAGGTCTGGTAGGGTTAAGGCAGTAAAGGAAAACGGTGCCTTTAAGGAGGATTTAGAGCCATGTGACAAGTGACATTGCCATAAACTGTGCAGGTCAGGATTTTTATTTTTGCCCCTAGTAGAAAACAAAATGTCACCATCTTATCAACACATTGGCTATGGCTGGTAGACTTACATGCATATCCTGAATCCACCGCTGAAACCACAAGTTCCTCCATTTTGACAGTAGTTAGCACAGGCTGTAGGAAATAAGCCAGTAAAATATGGTAAAATAATGTTTCCTTCACTGATGAAGTTTTAAAAAAAAACACAATTATGAATGACACAACTTTTTAAAGACTGAAGTCCATTGCAGGTTAAAATATCCATCCACACTTGAAAACTTATTTGTAAATGTACATGAACAAAAGGACTAATAATAAACTTTCATTGTGGACAGACAATAGACAGGAAGTGATTCAGAAAGGCAGAATAGGCACAAAGTTGAGAGGTTACAGCTAGGTGAAGTGGCATTAAAAAGAAAGTTAGATGAAACTGTGTTGAACACTGAGGCCTGGCAAAGAAAAAGCACCCAGCTGAAAGATAGGATTATTGTCCAGAGACTTGAGAACTCTTCCTGTCAAGAATAATGAATACCCTGGCATCTCAGAAAACTGAAATGGGTAGGCGCCAGTTTGAGGGTACCATTCTGCACACCGGAACTTGGCTGATGGTGTAGATGGGCTAACAGAAAGAAGAAAAAATAACCTCAGCAAGGGAATTGTCTCAGTCATCTTTTAGGTCAGTTCTATTGAAATGGTGGTCCAGGGATCAAATCCAGCCTGCAGAGGTCTAGCAAGTAGCCTGTGGATCACAAACATTGATTGGCATCTTCAGATGATAGTGTTTTTTGGCGCTATGATGAGACATGAGACTCACAACCCATGGTGATGGCATGTGTTACTAGCAAGACCAGCCTGAGTTAAGAAAAGTCTTCCACAATTATAGCATGCAATTTCTGCATCATTGTTGTCAACATTATGTTTCTTCTCAGATTCTTAGCTCTCATCCTTTCTGCCATCATTTCTTCCTTTATTTTTATTCTCTTCCTGATGTGCTCACTCCACACAACAAGGTCCATGGCATTTTGTTCCAAAGAGTCCACCTCAATATCTATATCAGATATGTCCCGCTTGCACACATCATAGTAGAGCTCGGCCTCGACATCTTCTACTTGTCTTTAATTCACCACAGAAAATGTCCATAGCGACTCAGCCATGCTCCATTCTCCAGCCCCTGAGCCTTCGTAAACTGAGCATTGAGAAGATTGTTGTAATACCTTAGTGTTGGATCATCAGTCACCATGCTGCAAGATGGACCCACAGTTGAAATATCATGCACCTCTTGAAGACTCTCAACAAACTTCAGAGCAGAGCAGCAAGCAATTATTGACGCTTGAGGAAAGAAAAATTATAAACAGCAAGATTGTTTGTCTTTGTGACTGCATGTCAGTCATCCAGGCCACTCAAAGGGATCCACAAGAAAAACTGGAGAGAGAACTGACCCACCACTCAGAAAAAACATCAAATCGTTCTCCAGTGGATCCCTGCTCACTGCCGCATACCAAAAAATGAGTCAGTAGACAGACTTGCACACACAAAAAATTGAACAAAGGAGAAACAAGACACCCATTTCATTACCAGAAATAAAAACACTCATCAAGGGAAAATACAAAGAATTGTGGAGAGAACAAACCAACAGTAAACATCCACAAGACCCCATCAGCAGACTAAACAGAAAGCTACATACAACAATTTTTCTGTCTAGGAACAGGACGCTGCAGGCTCAACTACTACATGCATAAAATGAAGACAGTAAAGTCCACACAGTGTGCATGTCAGACAGGACCACAAACAGCTCAGCACATTCTGCAGACCTGCCTACTCTACCTACAGCTTTCAAAAGAAACCTGGCCTCAAGAGCAAAGTGTGTAGACCATGAAGGACCTGCTGCTGACATGCGAGTTCATAGAGGCAACCCACCTGATGGTCTGATCTGAGAACACAAAACTGAACTCAAAGAAGAAGAAGAAGAAGATTTCAGCCTTGAAACTAAATTCTCCTAGTGAAGCTTGGGTCATTTCCATGCGTGCTCTGCCCTCATCTTCAGCAGTCAGCACAGAGTTCCAATACTGATGGTACTGGTCACAATCTGTTATAGGTGTGTCTTGCCTTGACTGAGCCGGTTATTTGTCCTCTTTTGGACATTGGTCCTGTTCCAGCACTTTAGTTTTGCAAGCACATTTGTTTCACAGATCTGTCTTATTTGTATGCAGATTGTTGGTTCCTTGCCTCTGAAGTAGATGCACTCTGACTTTGAAAGAAACATCCCTAATTAGTCGCTTTGTATGACATGCGTGTTGGGAAGGGGGAGCTAAATTCTTCCACCATCTCCCACAAAATGGCACCCAGGTTATCCACACACGGACTTGAAGAGACAAGGGACATATGTACAACTTACAGCAAGACTGCTCATCGCTACCGTCAGTGCAGTCTCGGGAACCATCACATTTTTGACTCTGTGCAACACAAGAGCCATCTGACACACATGTAAACTGGTTTGGAGAGCAGGTAATTTGAAACACAGGTAGGGTTTTACCAGAATACCTGAACAGACAGAAAGGATGTTGGTCAATACATAACACAGCAACCATCATCATAAACATTATACATGTTAAAAATGAATGAGTGTTGAATATTGAATTAAGAATCAACATCACAGCACTCAGGACACTCCCATAAGCACTCTGTTCCCATTTTCAGCAGCAAGCAAAGAATTCCAATTCTGATGGCACAGTAACTCTGATTGTATATCCATCTTGCCCTTTCCCTCAGTGTTGAGCATCTGCCAGATCCCCTGGTAACTCCTCACAGCGCCATACTTCCATCTGTGCCTCTGCACTGTTCACTCACTCCCAAAGGGCCAAAACAATATGTAGCTTGTCAAACATCAATTCACCACCAAGTGGTGCAGAGCTGGCCAGTCTATTTGCCTGCTCATTTACCAACATACTAGCATGACCTGGAGAAAATATCCAAAGGATGCTAACCACTCTGCATGGATCATGCCTGTCTCCACCCTTCTCAACATTTTCTCTGAGCAGTGACTGCCTCCACCTCCATTCTCAAACTAGACGTTGTGATATCATATGCAAGGATTTGTTGCACTAAGCGACGTCCATTTGCTTTTGCTATGAACTCCCATGCACTTCATCTGCCTCTCAACACAGAGCCATCTGTACAGACAATCACATCACTTGGGCGGGAACTGTGATGAATCCTTTGTTGAACTTTTGATTCTGCAGCGCCCGCTGGCCAGTCTCTGCACTTATGACCCAAAGTGATAACAACCCTACATAAGTCTGAATCTTGCTCAGACACTTTGACTCACTCCTTTCCTCGCCCAAATTTATCAAGCCTGCACATATGTTCAATAGTGTTTTCTGCTTGTGCCATCCAAGACTTTCCTCTTTTCAGTCTGTGACCCTTAGCTCTACCCAGGGCTTCATGCAGGAGGTGCTTCTTGTCTGCAGCTACTTTAAGATATGACTTTGCCAACAGAACTTTGAGCCTATCTGCAATAGTAGGCAGTGTACGCATACATCGCATACATACTACCTGGGTATCTCTTGTACATCCCAGAATTACCTGCATGGCTTAATTCTATATGCATTCAAGTTTCATCAGCTGACTCTTGATATGGCAAGCATTCCAAGTTCATAATCTATCACCGACAGGATCACAAGCTGGAACATTGTGAACAACATTCTTTGTTCCATGTCCATTGCTGCCATAATCTTGAGAGCATTGAGTCCTTTTTGGCATTTCACCACAACTGCCTCCACGTGATCCCTATAGAAAGTGATACCCAGGTACCTCAGTTAGCTTTTTTTTGATGTTACTGTTATTAATTTTGAAACTTGGAACATTAACTCTCACAATTTCTATTGTCCGCAGAGCACCATAAAACAGCCGCCTTTTTGGAATTGATGACAACACCCCTTTCTGCACACCAGTCAGTCCATTTGTCCAGTTGCCTGCAGCTCCTGGGCTATCCATTGTCTATCACTCATGACAGAATCACTAACTGACGTCAATGCACTTGGGCCATTCCCTCACCTGCCCAGTCTCCTTCAGTAGCCAACAAAGAGTTCCCATACTGTTGGTGCTAGCTGCAACCTGAGTAACTCTTTTTGTCATAAGCAATGCACTTTATGTTTTAAGATATTAGGCTAATGTCTCCATAGATGCATGAGGTGTTACTCTAATGGTTTAAACTTTAACTGTGCATACTAAAGAAACCGGGCCAGATATTGTAAAATGTAGCATTGTGTATGTTGCCTCTTTGGAAGTTACAAGCCTATGCTTCTTCACAGTGGGTACCAAAACCACAGGCAACTGTAAGGCATCTTTTCTCCTGTATGTTGAAAAACTTTCCAACTCACTGCTCACTCCCCAGTGAAACAGTCTAAGTATACTTTTAAAAAAAAGGAAGCACTGGTAATGCAGTGATTGGAATGCTTGTCTGCCCGCTGAGGGTCATGTGTTCCAATCTGCATTAAGGCAGACATGCTTCTCCACAATCAGTGATTTCTAACAGCATGTGTACAGACATCCTTCCATGCCATTACAAAATTCTGTCAAGAATCTTCTCTCACTGTTTTTCTCTACCTTTTTTTTTCCATATTTTTTTTTTACAATTGTCACAATATGGTCCAGATTTTCTATTCTCATAATTTACAGAACAGAGATCTTCTGTCCGGGAAACCTAACCAGGGCAACGAGTGCCTGCAGAAGTTGGATGTGTTGGCCAAAAGACATAAATATTGCAGCCATGTTGTAAACAGGCACAACACATTCAAGTCTTTGGATGAATACATAAGAAGAAGAAGAATTATGTAAAAACCTCATATTTGAGACTTCGAGGTATTTAAAAAATTTTTTTTTTTAATTTGATTATCAACTGTCCAGGATTCACAAGTCAAACAATTCTCATGCTGTTAATGTTATTACTCATTGTTAAAGTGCAGTGGGGGATTGATCAAGGATCCGGCCGACACACAATACTCATGAAAAAGGCAAGTAAGACATACAATCAAATCACTACTATAGCAACATGGGTACTGAAACTGTGCTGGCTGCTGAAGACGGGGACAGAGCACTTATGGGAATATCCTGAGTGTTGTGAAATAAGTTGGTAACTTCTTCCTTGTGTTCACCAGTTGTAAACTTTGGTGGACAATTCTGGTTGTTCATCCACTTCTGGACTTTTGTCTTGTTCAAGAACCTGAGTTTTACATGCACATCCATTTTATAGACGTGCTTATTTGTATGCAGACTGTTGGTCATCACCTCTCAGACAACTGCAGTTTGACTTTGAAGAAAATACCCCTAAACACTTGGCTTTTACAGCATGCTTGGTGGGGGCAGTGTGTCTATTCCCCCCTCCCCCCACCACAATGGGCTCCCAGACCCCACACAGGGACTTAACATTCAGACCCACCATTTATTAGAGCAACAAATGTGAAAAACAGAACCAGTTTAACTTTTTTAACCCCAAAAGCAATGCTTGAAGCCCATCTCATTTACTGATTTCCCTCCATAGCATAATGTGTTCTCTTAATTTTAATATTTGTTGAAAACATACTAAAGAAACCTGGCTTTTCCAATAGTCACCTTGTGCATACTGTAAATTTGAAAGTGATGTACTCATGATTTTCATCATGGTTATTTTTGTCATTTTGCCTGTCCCTGTGAAATCTTCTGGTACTGAGTTAAGTAATGCCTGTCTGTCTTATCCAGTTGCTACACTAGCTCCTTCTATCCCAATCTAATGAAGCTTTTTGTCTGATAGAGCGGATGCTTTTACTCATTCAAACCCACCATTTATTCACATACCTTTTTGAGATGGTCACTACACGGTATTTTTTCAAATTTATGACAAAAATATCACTTTTTCAATGTGTTCTTTTTTTGTAAAGTTCAGCATTCGAAGAATAGATTACACACAAAATGTATGTCATTTTTCAACAATTAAGCTTTGAAAAGTTAATACTAAAGGCACCAACCCATGCACTTTTTTAAGATAAAAAAAAGTTTAAAAGTCAGTTTTCTCACATCTCTATATTTCTGTTTGTTGTGTGTGTGAAATCCTAAAATCTCAACTAATATAAAGACTAGAAACAAGAAATTTAGTATGGATACTCCCTAAACAATATTATAGGGACTGGTCTTTTCAAAAGTAGATTTTAGAAAGTTTTTGTTTTTTAAAATCTGATTATTGTCTTATGATGATAGATTTCACTTGGGGCACTTCCATACGTGCTTTGTCCTCATTCGTCAACAAAGAGTTTCCCATACTTATGCTACCTGTTGCAACGTGACGAAAAATCTGCTTGTCTTTTCCCCTGATTGTTAAAAACTGTCCAAATCCTTTGCTTAGTCCATACTGAATCAGTCTCTAGAGGTATGGATGCTCTGGTCTGTTGTACTGTTCTCTCTGATGCACAGAGAGCTTCACCACACCCCCTTTTTATCATAAAGTAGTTCACTGCCCAGAGGAGCAGCAGCAGCCAGTCTATCAGCCTGCCAATTACCCCATACCCCAGAATGTTCTGAGCATAAAACAGGACAGAATCATATCATTCACATGGAATTGAAGGTTTACTGTATCAGTCACAAGCACTGTCTAGTGTGTGAATGATTCTGCCTCTTGATTTCACTCCATAGCATAATGTGCTTTCTTACTTTTTATATTTGATCAGAACATACGAAAGAAATCTGGCTTTCCCAAATAGTCATTATAGCTGTGTATTTTTCCAATTTATATGTAATTATTTCATCATGGTTTTTTTCTTCGCTTCCTCTGTCTTGCAATAAACCTTCTGGTATCATCATCATCATCATCATATGCCCTGCCAACTGGCGTAGGCGCTCATGCGTCTCCACAGATCACGATCCCTGATTACCTGGAACAGCTTTCTTGATGATATCCCTCTATGACATCCTTTCAGCCCATCCAGCATCATCTCTTTTGGTCTACCTCTACCCCTTTTTCACTGATCTTTCTAGTTGTCATGATGTTCTCCAATGTCTCTCTTCTCATTATGTGGCTAAAGAACAGTGTTTGTATCTGGTATCAAAAGAGTTAAATAACATACCTGCAACCTGCACTAAGGACAATGTCATCAACTGCTACAGATCCATTTGGACCTCCTGGCTGGCCCTCAATGATTATCTGGAAAGGCTGCTGCTGGTTGGACAGGGTAGCTGCGATCTGTTGCCAGTACGAGCCTGGTACAGGGTTAGTTATGGTCAGCTGTTGATCTGGTTGTCCGTTACTGTGAGTTCTAACACCCAGCAGAACTTTTTGATTTGTGGTAGGTATTAATGCAAAGAATCTAATCTGTAAATGAAAATAAATATTAGAATTAGAGGATTAGAGAAAATAATTCAGTAGAAAGTCAGTCAGTTAGCCGTTACGGTTCCGGCATCACAACCAACGAGCTTGATCCATAATTGCTCAACCGCCTTTGCCAGTGATTCCAGTCACAAATTGAGTCAGATACACTAAATATTTCAAGTGAATGCCGTAGCCATAAAAAGTGTCCTCAGTCAGCAAAACCACTAGAAAGAATCATAAGAAATAATACAACAGAAACAATCAAAGGGATATTTCAAAAGAAGGACTGACATGGTATGAAAGAATCCCTAACATAGAGATCTGGAAATGAACAAAACAAATTCTAGTGAATCAAGAAGTGAAAACAAAAGGAAGTTGGCACAGGATAGGACATGCATTGACAAAACTTGAAAAGATAATTAGTATGTCCTTACACTTGAATCCACAGGGCAAAAGAAATAAAGGAAACCATGAACACAAAAAGAAAATTATAGAATAATATGAATACGACAAGAAGAAAATGAGGTCAGCTGAACTTGATGGTAAAGGATAGGATGAGCATATGCTTTGTTGGAGATTAAAGAGCACTGAAAAATAATACATATTTTTATCGGGTTAAATTTAAATCTACAAAATGCCTGAAGTATTTTTCTGTTAACATTTCCAATGCATATATAATTTTTTTCTAGTTTTATTCAATTAAAGCACTAACATATATTTTTTATTTTTTTAATGAGAGCGCTAACATATATTTTCTAATTTTATTTAATGAAAGGTAAGCACTAACATATATTTTCTAATTTTATGTAATGAAAGCACTAACATATATTTTGGAACTTAATTTAATAAAATCACTAACATATATTTTCTAATTTTATTTAATAAAAGGAAAGCACTAACATATATTTTGTAATTTTATTTAATGAAAGCACTAACATATATTTTCTAATTTTAATGAATGAAAGTACTAACATAGATTTTGTAATTTTATTTAATGAAAGCACTAACATACATTTTGAACATTTTAACAAAATATATGGTGTGTGCTGGACTGTGTCCCTTGAATCTCTTTATAATACATGGGGGAAACGTAAAGTGTGGGGAAGAAGGAAGAGTGGGAGTAGACCCCTAAAAAGCATGTCATAAAAGGCAATTAGTTGTGGGTGCTTCTTTGAAAGTCAGAGTCAAGAAATCAACAGTCTGCATACAAATTAGCCAGATTTGTAAAACAGATTTGCACACAAAACTCAAGTTCTGGAACAAGAAATTTCAGAAGTGGAAGAGCAGCTGCAACTTTTCGCCAGGTGTTTATAGCCAATGAATGCTGAGAAGAAGGAGAAGAGATTTGTATTTTCTTGTTTCATTTTGTAATAATACATTGTCTCTAATGGTATACCAAGCTCACTTTACTGATTCATATTATACTTCATATGCATGCATACTGGTGTCACAAACTAGAAAGAAAAGGCCAACCAGAGAGATGAATGGAGGTGGGCGATATCTGCAGCAATGAACCTCAAGGTTGGACTTAGTCACCACCCTTCAAGTCCAAGTCGAGCCCCAAGTCATTGCCACCAAGCCCCAAGTCACATCCCAAGTCAGCAAGAATGCTTTCAGGTTGAGTCCCTAGTCTGGTAACTTCATGTATCAAGTCATTTGCAAATTGTGCATGGAACAATGCTTATAGATTAAACTAGTTAATCTGTTATAATACAAAACAACAGCCAACAATTGTTAGATTTTGATCTTGTTGAGTTGAGTTGAGTCAAGAATTGACACCACAATTACAGCACTCGGGGCATTCCCATACGTGCTCCTTCCTCATCTTCAGCAGCCAGTGCAGAGTTCCAATACTGATTGTACCGGTCACAATCTGGCTATATGTCCGTTCTTGCCTTTCCTCTGAGTGTTGTAAGCCGGCCAGACCCTCTGGTTACACCAAGTGCCTCATTCTCTCCAGGCTATAATAATCTTCTTTTTCTACTGATTCCGTTTCTTGTTCCCACAGGGCCTTGACCACATCTGCCTTGTCATGTATCAATTTACCACCCAGTGGTGCAGATCCAACCAATGTACACCGTATAGCCGGGAGAAAAGATCCAAAGTATGCTCACTACCTGTGACCTTCCCAGTGAAGCTTGCCACTCTGCTCAAAGCATCCCTCTCTTCACCTTTCTCAGCATGCTTTCAGAGTCTGTTACAATTACCACATGTGTATGCATCTTGTTCTCTAGCCACCTGATAGCTGCCGTTACCACCTCCACCTCTATGCTAGATGTTGTGATGTTGTATGTAGGCTGTCTTGCACAAAAGATTTTCCATTGGGTTTCGCTACGAACCCCCAGGCACTTCTCTTTCCTTTTGATGTTGTATGTACGAGTAAATAGCTGAATGCATACAACTGCACTTTGAAGGTATTGTTTTTTTTAACAACTCTGTAAAAAAATTGAAAGATGTCACATTATTTTATTATTTTTTTACATCACCAAACTTCAGTGCCTGGCCACGAAGGCTGAGTTTACCAAGTCGTTCAAGCTGCAAGTCAAGTTGCTGGACAAAGCCCTATGTTGAGTCGTAAGTCATTAATAAAGTGTTTTAAGTCACACACTTAAGTCCAATTCATGAGACTTGAGTTTATACACATATAAAACAAATGATAGTCAACTAGCTTCACACGTAGGCCACAATTGGCCAATAGCTGTAGCAAGTCATGGCACACATCAATTTTGTTTTTTATAAAACAGATAAACTTAATATTGTGACTAGTTAAAAGGTTACTTCAGGACATTCTTACCATGCAAAAATCTGTTGCGTCAAAGACTTGAGACAGCAGCCAGGCTTGGTCAGTAGCTCCACTGCCAACTCCACCACTTGCAAATATGTAGTGACCACTTGTGAGGCCTGTACTGTGATCAATGCCTTGAAGACCAGGAGCTATTGGGTAGCTATTGTCCCAACGCTGCCAGTCCAGCTGATCCTCTGTACTCTGAGAGAAATTCCCAAATGAAGTTTCAAAATCAGTGTATTTGTATGTAGAGCAGGTTTGGTCATTTTCATCGGATCCATCTCCACAATCATCATCGTTGTTGCAAACCCAGTTACTGTCTATGCAAGCTCCGTTTCCACACCGGAACATACCAAGACAGTCAGTTTGCACAGGCTGCGGTTCAGCACATTTGGTAAAGTAAAAACTGTCTAGTGCTATCTGTCCTGAATAGGTGGCACTCGGAGCTCGTGAAAAGGTTAGTGTGAATGGTGTTTTCCTCCGCCCGATGCCAACATTAATAGTTTGCCAGGTCAAAGTTTTCTGAGACGTCTGCCAAAGGACCTGATTAGGGGAAATAAATGTGGCCAGATTGAGCGAGAGTGTGCCTGGATTGGTTCCGTTCATGAAATAGGAAAACCTCAGAACACATTCGGCTGCAGAACTACTATACTGTTGACTTTCCAATGCTGCTTTCTGTCCATTTGTATTTCCATTAGTCATGTCATTTATATGTGCATATCCACCATTTGTTCCATCAGCGTCTGAGACTGGACCATAAATGCTGGACACTGGGGAGGCTAGAATCTGCTCCCAGTCCAACTTGTCGGACGCCGCTTCATACCATGTGCAGAGGTCGTTATCAAAATTGCACATGGTTAATGTGTCACAGCTGGTCTCATCACTTCCATCGGTGCAATCTTTATGGAAGTCACAAACGTTTTTCTTGGCGATGCAGGTTTTACTGCCAGCACACTGGAACTGGTCATCTCCACAAGGCTGGAAAGTAAAGGCTGAAGGTGGAGAGGGAGTGATGGTGGAAAGAGTGGTAAATGGGGCTGGAGTTGAAGCTACAGGAACATTACACGAGGGGCTGAAGGTGACATCATCAATGGCAAACAAGGTGCTTAAACTGATTCCATGGACGGCTTCAATGATGAAGGTGTAAGGCTCACTGAGTATGATAGTGGGGATTGTATGTTTTATCCATACGTTGGTGATGTTAGTCAAGCTGATGGTGTCTTGAAGTGTCTTCACCCCTGATGCTGTCACCGTATAAACATTAATTACCCCAGTGTTGACACTGTTCATCAAATACCACAGTCCCACATCACAGGACATCTTTGGTGCAGGCATGGCCAGTGAAATGGAGGCAGTAGAGTTAACAGACTGGCCATCCAGGGAGACAGCTAAATAATGTCCATACCTGGATTGGGTGGTGTGATCAGATGAGGGGAATGTCCTGGCACGATAGACCATCTGTGGTTCTATTCCTTGTTCTAGACCCCATTCCTTAATGGAACCAACATTTGACTTCCACTTTCCAAGCCCGTCTTCAAATGTATTTTTACTGTAGGAATAGCAGAGAGGATCACTCTCATCCGAACCATCACAACAATCGTTGCTCAGATCACACAGCTGGTTCGTGTTGAAACAGTCCCCATTGGAACACGACCGCTCATTGACACCACACTGTCTGGAAGGTGGCGATGCACAGTTGGCAAATACAAGATTATCAAGTAGCATGTAATAAGAATTTGATGAAGAAGAGAGTGGAAAATCAACTGCAAGAACCAACTGAAATTCAGAAGTGCAACCTGGCAGTTTGATGGTTGTTGTCTGCCACTCAGTGAGTGTGTATGGCACCGAAACAGAAGAGTCAAAAAACCAAATCTGATTATCAAATCCTCCAGCTCGGATGCTCAAGATAATTCTCCTTGGAAGTCTGTTGGTCTTGTAAGAGAAAGAGAATTCACACAATTTACTGGCTCTGGAAAAGTATGGTGACACCAGCGAGAGCCCGCTGCCCCTGCCTACCAGAAAATGTCCCATATCTGTGCCAGGATTTACATCTACATCTGAAAAAGCTGAGGATGCATTAATAACCCAGTTGGTTCCTGGTCCCCCTGCAAAAGTCTGCTCAGTCCAGCCACACCTGTCAGTCTCAAAATCACAGATTGCAGGGCAGGTTTTTTCATCTGTTCCATCTGTACAATCATGATTGAAGTCACACATAGTTTGGACTGACTTACATGTGGTATTATCACACTGAAATTCTAGCCCTGCCTTGCAGACGCCTGGGTTCACTGTAGGTCGCAAGGGAGGTAGGGTTGCCTGGATGAGCCTATAGCAGCCGGAAGTAAAAGAAATGTCATCAATGGCAGTATCTCCTTTGTAACTGCTTCCTCTAACGGCCTCAATGACAACCCGGAAGTTCTGAGTCTCTTGAAGTGGAATACTAATTCTCTTCCACTCAGTGTTCTGAGCTGTACTTGCAGACCACTTCAAAGAAAACGATCCATTTTCTTTATTTTCTGTGTAAACATTCAATGCACTGATGTGCTGACCTATCATATAATAGAAGAAACGAATGGCACATGTTCCTTGATTATTGGGGAAGAACACTGGGCTCTTCAGCCTTGCTGTGGCACTTGACACTTGTGTGGTTGTTGGTTCAATATACATGTAAAATCCTGTTGCATTGCCGTAGGTGTGATCTTCACTTGGGCCATAGCTATTACCAGCAGTGCTGTCACTAATAAGTGTCCAATCAAAGTCATCAAGATCATCCTGCAGCCATCCGCAAGTTCCAGCCTCAAATGTGCACTGTTCATAGTTCTGACACAGACTCAAACTCTCATCTTCACCATTCAAGCAGTCTTTCGCCAGATCACATTCAACATCACTGGGCTTACATTCATCTGTTGATGGACACCTAAAGTTACCAGCAGGACATGTAACATTGCCAGATCCTCGCATACATGACTGACTGAACGTAATATCATCAAGAGCTATCCCATGACCAGTTATGTCCTGTTCAGACCGATATTCAAAGACAAGCCTGAATCCAGCAGCACGAGATCCTATTCCAACAGTGGCTTGCAACCAGTCACCTTCATAAAAGTAACTTGAACTCCACAACTTTGATGTGGAATCACGGGTATATTTTGTAATGCCATTTGGAAACATGAACAGATTGATGGATCCTGAATTGTCTGTCTGATAAAAGAAACTGATCTCGCAACCTTCTTCTGTGGCTCCAAGAACAGGACCTTCTAGGAAAGCAGAGCTTGCATATCCAGCGTTACTAGACAGGACAACCATAAACCAGCCTCCTGCAGACGTGTTAACAGTGTGGTCATACTGAGGTTTATAAAGGGCATCGCTTGAAGAGATGTTTCTTCTACCCCAATAGTACATACTTGGACTTCGGTCATTCCAACCACAGGCTGAAGTCTCAAACGTGCATGCTCCACAAGCATCTTCATCTGATTTGTCTGTGCACTGGTACATAAAATCACAAACTTGGGCCACAGGGATGCACTTGGTCTTATCTCTGCACTGCCACTTGGTGGAGTCTCCACATGGGTTGGGGGATGTGCTCACGGTTGCCGAGGGGGCTGTTGGTAGAGTGTCATTGCTAATCACACAGTCAGGAGAAAATGTGATGTCATCAATGGCTATATCTCCCGCTGGGCCATCTCCTCTAACACCTTCAATGATCACCTGGAAAGGCAAATTATTCTTTAGGAGGATAACACGCTGTTGCCAAAAGTTTCCTATCTCGTGGCTTATTGTAGAAACTGGCACATGCGGTCCATTAGAGACAGTTCTGGCAAACACATTCAGATACTCAATGTCAGTTCCATACATATTTACAAACATGCTCATTGTACAGGTGCCAGAAGGTCTGAATATGGGACTCAGTAACCAGGCCCTGTCTCCTGGCATTCTTGGAGCTGACGTCTCAATGTACAGGTAATGACCTGAAGGTAAAGAAGTTGTGTGGTCTACATTTGGCCCTGTGCCTTGAGTGGCAGTTTCGTGGTCGCCAAGGCTCCAGTCAAAGTCATCAAAATAGTTCTCTTGGACCCAGTCACACATATCAATTTCAAAAGTGCAGCCGTGGTATGCTGAGCACAGCTGTGGATCCTCATCGGAGTTGTCTCCACAATCATTAGCAAAGTTGCACTTTAATTTTGGATCCACACAGGCTGAGTTGTTACACTTAAATGTATTAACTGAATTGCAGCTGGTATTAGGCTGCGGGAAATCACAGTTTCTGAAGGAGATATCATCAATGGATATATCTCCGTTAACAGTAAATGTCCGTCTGGCATTTATGTTAATGAAAAAAGATCTCTCTGAAGCTCCTAGAGGTACCACTTGCTGAAACCATCTGTCTCCTTGGTCGTTAGTTACTGACCACAGGGTGTATGTTTCTGCTCCTTGTTCCCTGTCTACAGACAAGGTGCCTACATTAGTACCTGTCATGTGCAAGTAGAAGACCAGCTCACATGTTGGTGAGGATCTCTGCAGAAGTGGACTCTGCAGAGCAGCAGTACCATAAGCACCAATATTGGATGTAAGACTGAGATAGTAGCCAGTTTGTGCACCTGTGGTGTGATCAACTGAGGGACCAGTGTTTGTCACAGCAGTTGCCCCACTGCTCAGAATCCACCTAGAGGAAGAGGCACTAGCATTGGTCCACATGCAAGTCTGGTTGCTGAAGGTCGCGGAGTCAAAGTCACAGTTGTAGCCACACAGTTTCTCCTCCTCTCCATCAATGCAGTCATTGTGGAAGTTACACATTTGTGCCATTGATAATAACTGTCCATTTGCTTTGCAGAAGAAAGCATTCTTTGTTTGATCCGGCAGGGGGTTAGAGTCACATGATCCAGTTTGGATGGATAGGTCATCAAGAGCTATATCACTGAAACCAGGGTCTCCGACTTTTCCATCAATCAAAATATAGAAATCCGATGAGGCAGGTCCGATTGACAAGCGTTTCAGTGTCCAGTCTGTAGTTTTAGTTCCGTTGGACCATACGTTTGTAGATGTGGCTCCAGGTTGGGATGCCCAGCTGACACTCAGAGTTCCGATATTTGAACTAGCACTGTTCATGTAGTACCAAATGTTCACACAATAAGTGCCATTGCCTTTGAGTCGAGGGGAGACGAGTGTGGTGTGGTCATTTGTCTTTCTGGGTGCTGCACTGTCCATGAGTAGGTAGCCACCGTACTCTGTATATGTAGTGTGGTCAGCTTTCACTCCAACATCAGCAAAATGTCTGGCACCTCTACCTCTCATCCAATCAAAGTCATCTCCAGTCTCCAAATTTGTCCATGAGCAAACATCAACTTCAAAATCACAAGTTCCTAGGCCTGGACAAGGTCCTTCTAGCATCACAATGTCATCAATAGCGATGTCACTATAGATCCCGCTTCCAACAACTCCCTCAAAAACGATGTAGTAGTATAACGCACTGTTAACTGTAATCTGAGCCAGTTGCCAGCCGGGTCCTTGTTGCCCAGATATAGACCAGACCTGAGTGGGAGGGGTCATGTATAAATTTGGCTGTCTAAGGATATTCAGGGTTCCCATGGTTGTTCCGTTCATAGAGTACCAGAAGGTCAGGCAGGAAGCAACTGTTGGATGAAATGTATTGTTTGTCTTCAGTTGGGCTTTGTCCCCTATTTTACGAGGAGCTGATGAATCAATGTATGCAAAATGTCCTTCAGGAGTGTTGAATGTGTGATCAGTGGCTGGCCCTGTGTAGCTGGCATTTCTCTGAGTTGTGCTGATCAGCCAGTCAAAGTCATCTGTTTGTAACTGAGTATAACCACAAACATTATCATCCTCAAAGTCACACACTGATTGTTGTGGGCAGTGGCCATCATTCTTTGAGAAGTCATCTAGAGCAATGTCTCCAGTAGGACCGTTCCCACTGATACCTTCTACAGTAATGTTTGCATACCCACTTATACCCTGAATATGAATTTGTGCATATTTCCATTCTGGGCCTTGTGTCCCCACTTTGGTCCATAAAAGTATCCGTTTATAGTCAGAGGAAGATGTGACGTAAATGCTGAGGCGGTTGATATTAGATCCATACATGTAATACCAGAACTTGAAACATATCCCTGTAGAGTTTGAAATGGTCACTGGAGGACTAATCAATCTAGCACTGGAGTTTGCAGATATGCCAGATACCTCTGTGTATATGTAGTGTCCATCAATGTTGTTTAAGGTGTGGTCTGAGGGAGGACCTGTCCCAATTGAAGTTGTGGAACCTGCATGCCAGGACCAGTCTATATCATCGGACTTATCTTGTAACCATAGACAGATATTGCTTTCAAAGTCACAGTCCAGATTTGTAGGTGGGTAGGTTACTGGCAGGGAACTTGTTGGAGTCACTGTATGGACAGTTATATTACTGCAAACAGTGTTAATGTAGAGAATATCATCAAGAGCTATATCTCCTCCGTAGTCTCCGCCATAAGTCCCCTCAAACAAAACCTCAAAAGCTACCACAGATCGAACTGTGATAAATCCCATCTGCCACAAATCTCCTTGATCTCCAGAAAGGAACCCTATAGGGTTGCGATTGCTAGTGTTTGTAGACTTTGTATAAACAGTCAGGTTTCCGACACTGTCACCAGACATGTGATACCAAAACTGCAGGCAGGCTCCACTTGTGGCAGCTAAAGGTGCACTTTGCAGTATAGCCTTATCTCCAGGATTGTGAATGCCTAGGGTCTCTATATACAGATATTGTCCACTAGAAGTTCCTGTAGTATGGTCTACTTGTGGTCCCATGTAATAATGTTCTGTGCCAGGACTGTCCAGAACCCAGTCAAACTGATCGCCCTGTTCTACGTTTATAAAACCGCAAAGCCCATCTTCAAAGGTGCAAGATGCTGGTGGTGGACATGTATCTTGGCTAATTTCAACATCATCAATAGCAATATCACTTTGTATGTCAGTTCCCACAGTTCCCTCAAACTGGATGTTACAAGGTGTATTATGGCCATTAATAGGAACAAAGGCTCTCTTCCACATATTCTCTTGTGATCCTTGGAGACTCCAAAGTTTGACTGCAACAGTAGTTCCCAGATCTCGTCGGTAGACATTCAGAGTTCCAATGCCAGATCCATACATATAATACCAGAATGTCACACAGCCTTGACTACCATACATTTGGCTAGTGATAACTGCATTGTCATTTGGTCTCCTACCTGATGCTTCAATGTATGCATACTTTCCATATCCTGAGCCTAAAGTATGGTCTGTACTTGGTCCATTTCCATCTGAACTGCTTCCGAGAGACCAGTCAAACACATCAGTAGTTTCTTGGGTAAACCCACAGAAGCCATTGTCAAAGGTGCAATATGGGAGAGAAGCACATGAACCATAAGTTATATCAATGTCATCCAGGGCAATGTCACTTAAATACCCACTGCCGACTGTGGCCCGAAATGTTAATGTGTATTCCTGGCTCAGATTCACAAAGATACTTTGATGGATCCAAGCATCTTTTTGTGTGCCACTTCTATACCATAAAAGACCAGAGGCTGCCGGGTAGCTGGCTATTAGCTGCAGACTCCCCATCTCTGACCCATGCATATGGTACCAGAATGAAAGACAGTAACCAAATTCAGTAGTTGGAGGTAACTGAGGGCTGACTAAATCTGCAGTATCATTAGCTTTCTGAGGAGTTGAGCTTTCAGCATAGATATACTCCACACCTCCATGTGCATGAGTTGGCCCTGTTCCATCTGTCAGAGTGCTTCCCTTCTGCAAGGTCCAGTCAAAATTGTCTGTACTCGATTGGTGCCAGTTGCACGTGTTGATGTCTTCAAAGTCACACGCAAGACTTGGTATGGTTTCTGTAGGGCTGCAGACATAGAAGTTAATGTCATCAATGGATGCAATATCTTGGCTTGCTGAAGATCCAGAAGGATCATAGATGATATCAATTTGAGCGCCAGGAGGTAGGTCACTAATGCCTACATGGTCTCCTATATAGACATAGGCCTTTTCCCACTGTGATGCTTCTGTTGGCGGAGATGACCATATTTTGGTTTTGACTCCGTCAATCGGCACAGAGACAGAAATGATGCCAGATGACACATGGTAGGAAAATGTCATAATACAGGCTGTTGATATAGCTCCAAGTGGACGAGAACGGAGAATTGATGGTCCAGGCGTCAACCCAAAATCTGGTCCAATATACATATAATGTCCTGTTGAATTGCCAGGGTTCACATCAGAAGAAGGTCCAACTGTGCCCATAACAGACTGTGAACTTAGCGACCACTTTAAAGACCCTGTACTGGCATAATACCATCCACACATACCATACTCAAACGTGCACGTGCCACAAATGACTTCATCTGATCCATCTGTGCAGTCTGACACAAAGTCGCATACTTTGCTAGAGTTTATGCAGCTTCCACTCAAACAATGGAACTGAGAAGGTAGGCATGTACTTGTGGTAGTGCTCTGGGTTGTAACCGGGTAACTGGGTGTTGGCAGAGTGGTTCCTTGTGTTGTCAGTTTACAGCCCTCTGAGAGCGAGATATCATCAAGACCCATGTCACCATACATTGAAGACCCAACGACACCTTCAAAAATAATCTGGAAATTCTTGGTGCTGTTGAGATGCAGTACTTCCCTGGCCCAGAACTGTTGATTGTAGATTTGTCTTGTGTAGAGAAGTGTGGGGTAGCCGCCTCTCTCTGTGGCCAGATAGATGTTTAGAGGGCCCATGCTAGATCCATACATGTTATAGAAGAAAGATATGTGGCAGTCATCAGACACTTGTGCTGGACTTATGACCGGACTCAGGAGACGAGCCTTCTGGCCAGGTCTTGCTGGTGAAGATGTTTCAAGATACACATAATGACCAGTGTCAATGCCTGTGCTGTGGTCTACATTGGGGCCAGTATTCAGTGTTGGTGTTTGGCCTGAGTGTAATGTCCAGTCAAGGTCATCCATGGTGTCTTGTGTCCAGGTGCACAAACCCAACTCAAAATTACACTGGTTGCCCACAGTGCAGTTGACTTCATCCGAGCCATCTCCACAATCATCTGTGAGGTCGCACTTGTAGATTTGATTGTAGCAGACGCCATTGGCGCACTGTTGCTGGTTGCTCTGACAAGATGTAGATGCTGGAGGCAGGCCACAGTAGATCAAGCCGGTGTCATCAATGGCCACTGTTGAGGATGTTGTGTACGATCTTGTGGCTTTGATCAGCACTCTAATGGGGCTCTTGTAATGGCCGATGTTGACTAAAGCTCGGGCCCATGGAGTACCTGTGACCTGGTTTCTTTCTTCCCAAATCAGAACATCCCTGGATTCGATCTGGGGGAAGAGACAAGCAGACATTTTTACTGATATTTGAATGCAGAGTCCTTGTGTGGATTCTGGTCCCTGATGTGGGGAGACCAAGAACAGACCCACTGCTCCATCCCCCTGCCCAAGAAACACGTCATAAGAGGTGACTATTTATGAGTGTTTCTTTTGAATTCAGAATGCATTTGTCAGAGAGACGAGGAGCCAACAGTCTGCATACAAGCGAGTCAGATCTGCAAAAAAGGTTTACATGCAAAACTCCCTTTCTGGATCAAGACCAAAGTTCAGAAGTGGATGAACAACCAGAACTTTCCGTCAGATTTTACAGCTGGTTAACACTAAGATAAAGAAAAAGAGAAAGAAAGCAGAGAAGAAATCTGTTTGAGCTGACAACAAAGGTCAAAGTGATCCCATAACCGATACTACTTTGGGATGTCAGTTGACTGACCTTCACATATCCAAGGTCATTGTATCAGCGGCTCTTCACCAAAGTCACCTAAGAACTAAAAACTTGTTTCAGGAAAAAATGCGTCAGGATATGGAGACCAAATGAAAAAGGTGTAACTGTGGGAAAAGTAACACTTCACGCTGACCTATTTGGAATTCACACATGTGTCTTTGGCATATTGTAAAATGACAAATGACAGTCCTGAATATACACTTAGGTAAAATCATCAAAATATCACAAGGTGAGTTTAGTGTAGTGCCAACAGTATTAGATTAGTTTAACACTGGTAAATGCTAGCCAGTTGCCTTACTTAATGTCCTTTCCTCACCAGACAATTCACAGAAAATTCTGGAAATTATCTGGTACCCATTTTTGGCTGGGTCGACCCCAGGGCTGTACTGGTCGGAAAAAATTCCTGCAAAGTATGAGGATGACATCACAATCACAGCACTCAGGGCATTCCCATGTGTGATTCTTCCTCATCTTTAGCAGTCAACGCAGAGTTACAATGCTGATGTTACAGGTCACAATCTGGCTATAAGTCCGTTCTTGCTTTCCCTCTGAGTGTAATGAGCCGGCCAGACCCGCTGGTTACACCCAGGTGTCTCATTTTCTCCAGGCTATAAAAATCTAATTTCTCTACTGATTCCGTTTCTTGTTCCCACAGGGCCTTGACCACATCTGCCTTGTCATGTATCAGTTCACGACCTAGTGGTGCAGATCCAGCCAGTCTGTCTGCCTGGACTGAAACCAGGACAACAAAGGGGAACTGCTAGGATTGGATGTAGTATGGCGTGGCTTTGTGCCATGTGGGCCCAAGATGATGGCCAGGAAGGTCATTCAGGGTCACCTGGAGACATCCTGGGCAATGGTGCTCTGGTGAAGCTGCAACAGGCCTAGCAAGCTAGCAGTGGATGTAACAGAGAACACAATGAGATATACCAGCACAATGTTGCTATGGCCGAGGAAGACAGAAGACACAGAACAGAAACAAAGACAGAAAAAGCAAAGCAGCCATTTCACTCCAGTGGTGTATTTGGCATATAATGCTATACTAATATTTGGGTAGAGCAGCTGGCACTCAATGGGTGATGTGGTCACCTTGCTTCCCAGGACTCTACCAAGTACCCATTTTAGGCCGGTCAAAACTGAGAGCATAAAGACAATACAGATTCAAACCTAAATCCTTCAGGCTGGCAGGCAAGCATCTACTAGTTTTGTGAAAGTAGCTCCCACTCAGATATACACTTCTTTCTATAACAGACGAATGTTTGGATCAAAACTTCAAACATATACTAGTAGTTCTTCTTTGTTTGCCATCTATTCCCTAATGGAGCACAAGCCCCCAACCAACTCATGCCAAGTTGTTCTGTCCTTCACTATTGCAGGCAGCTCACCCACCATGGCCTTCCCATCTTTTTAACTTCACTCGCTAGCTTCTTTCTCCGTGTGTTTTTGGTCTGTCTTTATTTCTATGTCCCTGTGGATTTCAGTGCAAAGATATTCAAGTTATACTGTTCTCATGTTTTCTTAACCTGTGTCCTGTCCAACACCAGCATCTTCTCCTCACCTCTTGTTCTGCTGGTTGTTCTTTAGTTCTCTCACAAAACTCAATATTAGTAATTCTATCATACCATTTAGTTTCTTTGTATTCTGCACAGGCACTCATTAATGAGGGTTTGTAGTTTATTAGTAATTGTTCTAGTTACTAGAAGTTACCTGTACAAAAACCTGGAGACTTCCTGAAGACTTTTTGTAATAAAACTGGAACTGGCAAGTCTCGTATGTGGGCTTCAGCTCAGCCGTAGATAGTATTGCAGTTGGTGAGTATGTTCCTCCCCTCTTCTGTGTGACGTACATAAAATGTCCATTGACAGACTGGAGTGTGTGATCTGCTCCAACCCTAGTCCCCACATCATCCGCTGAAGCATCTGTTGCCTGCATCCATTCCACAGATCCCTGACTGATATCCACAAATCCACACAGGCCGGATTCAAAAGTGCAGTTGCCACATATGGCTTCATCCGCACCATTAGAGCAGTCTAGGTTGTAGTCACATGTCTGTGAAAGGAAGGTTCAGCAGAAATAGTATTAGTGGAAAATCTTAGTTTCATACTACGAGTTTTACATTCTTCATGCTTAAAAAGAAAGAGTGCTTTGCATATAACTTCACAACATTCTGCATGAGAATGCAGGTGGAGGCAGTAACGACAGCTTACTGATGGCTGGGAGTAGTACATGCTGACTTACAGCAATTATAATAAACTTACAGAACATGCTTTGAAAACAAAATTCAGTGCTTGGTATAAATTCATTTTAGGCTCCTGAAATTGGTCTCATAAAACAATGCATTGGTATTGAACTCCGATGCTCTATTGTAGAAAAGAGAAGACATTTCTTAATGTATGCCAGTATATGACAAGGCAGATGTGGTCAGAGCCTGTTGGGAACGAGTAATGAAGCCAGAAGAGAAACTAGATTATTATGGGCTGGAGAGAAAAATGCACCTGGGTGTGACCAGAGAGTTCGGCTAGCACACTACGCTTAGAGGAAAGGCAAGATGAACATACAACTAGACTACAACTGGCACCATTAGTACTGGAACTCTGCACTGGCTGCTAAGAATGGGGACAGGGTGCATATGGGAATGTCCTGAGTGCTGTGATGTCAATTCTTGACTCAACTCAACGCATGCCAGGCTGGCTAGTCACACTTGCCATTGCAATGGGTTGTATTCCTATGCCTCCATGTAGCAGAAACACTATTCTCTGGAAATCTGGAAAAGTGCCAAAGAAAACCACTATCTGATTAAAAGAAAGATGTTGATTGGTCAATACTTGTATGTTCTGCAAGGTGTTACCCTATCTAGCCATCAGCAATAAACTTGTAATGAACAGAGAAACCTCTGATCAAACTGATCGGTTAGGACTTTGGGGCCAAAGAGTTTAAAGATACGGTGTCTTTTTTACAGATCGTCTAGTCCATGTCATGTGTTATGGGTAATTATGAGTGTTCACAGCCTGCATTCACATATCATTTATTATACACATATTGTTTCATGCCACGCAGTAAGACTGCTCAACATGTTCTCTTTTAGGAGCCTGCTGGCTCTCTTTCCCTTGAATTTTCCAGCTGTCATAACTAAACTCCAGTTTTCCTCTTCTTATGTCCTGCCCAAAGAATGTAAAGACAATTTTTGCAGATACAAGTGCATTTTCTGTACAAAATCATCACCTATTTTCAATATGATGTTAATTTTACAGATAACACTTAATTTCTTGTAAAACATCTTCATCCAAATTTATTGTGAGAGTAATCTTCACAGAGAAGACTTAACTGTCTGTACAAAATAATCACCCACATTCAAAGTAAAGATTATTTTTAAAGATTAGACTTAATGTTCAGTACGAAATCCACTCCCCCCCCCCCCCCAGGTTTAACTTGAAAGTAATTTGATGATAAACTACTGATGATAAGACTAAATTTGTTGGTACAAAATCATCACCCATATTCAATATAAGATTATTTTTACAGATAAGATAGTAAAAAATCATCTCCCACATTTAATGCAAAAGTAATTTTACAGATTATGTACATAATCATCATCAATATTCCATATGAGAGTAATCTGTTTAAAGATAAGACTTCATTTTCGACACAAAATCCCCACCCACGTTCACCCACGTTCACCCAGTCATATTACCTTGTTTATGGAAACTGTCTGCCCATTACCGCAGTCAAATGTGGTAGCTTGGTATGGGCACTTGCCTGCAGTTAGCATCACATCATCAATGGCAATGTCACTGTATGAATTGGATCCCAGGTGGGCATCAAATACAATCATGTAAGACACATTGGACTGGATGTCAATCTGGTACAGACATAGCGAAATAAAAAAGTGATGTTAGTATATGTAGATGCTGATGAACAGTGAATCATGGACAGTTAGTCAATGTCCATGTGTGGATTCTGGGGCCTCATGGTGGGGGGAAATGGAGAGAGAAGATGGAGGTGGAGGCAGTCATTGCTACGTTCTGCAGGCTTAAGAATCAGCCGTACACACATGCCATGATTGTTACTGACTCACAGAGCATGTTGAAAAAGGTGGAGAAGGTATGCTCTTTGCAGAGTGGCAAGCATCACTTCAGGGGTAACAGGTAGTTAGCATTCTTTGGATATTCTATCCAGGGGCTGCCGGTGTCAAAGAAAAATACAAGGAATTGTGGAGAGAACAGATAGTACACATCCACAAGACCCCATCAGCAAACTCAACAGAAAGCAAGATACAACAATTTTGCATTTATAAACAGGACACTGCAGGCTCAACTACCATATACATAAAATAAAGAGAGTACAGTCCCCCCTGTGTTGCCTGTCAGATACAAATTTACCATTTATTTAAAAGTCGGGAATCAACGTGAGCAAACCCTGAACCTTCTCCTTGAACCTGGTAGGCTAGGAGATAGATCAGATCATTTAGGATGTGGGAGATTCCTTCTGGAGACTGTCTACTTGTGAGGTCTGTCTTCTTACTTGGAATCTAATTTGCCTTTTGGGTAAATGGTAGTGAAGTCAACCTCATACACAAGTAGTTTCTATGTCTGTCCTTATATGTCTTGTACAAAACAAAAAAAGAATTAAGTTCTAGTATCTCCTGTTGACTTCACATAGTGTATCTCTAAAACAAAGCGAATCCCTCATCACAGAGGCAAGGAACAAAAACAGTACCCAGCACTCAGATTCTGAAACAAGACTATAGTTCTGAAGTGGATGAGCAACCGGAACTTTCTGCTGGAGTTTACAGCCAGTGAATGCTAAGAAAAAGATAAGAGGTGCAGAGCTAAATGCAGAAAAATTGCCAGGTGACTGGATAAATGTTTAATTAAAAACTGAAAAACACATGGTTATTTGATTTGATTTGATTCAAGAACCGACATCACAGGACTCAGGGCATTCCCATAAGCACTCAGTCCCCATCTTCAGCAGCCAGCGAAGAGTTCCAATACTAATGGTGCAAGTAGCATTCTGATTAAACGTCCATCTTGCCTTTTCTCTGAGCCTCAAGCACCTGCCACAACCTCCCACCACTCATTCCCCACCTCCCCCTTCCTGCATAATCTCACCAGACTGTGGTGATCCATCTGCTCCTCCAAACTGTACACGCTCTCCCACAAGGCACTAACCACGTCGGCTTTATCATTCATCAGTTTTCCACCAAGTTGTGCAGAGCCAGCCAGTCTGTCCGCCTGTTCATTTCCCAACACACCAGTGTGCCCCAGCAAACAAATCCATACAATACTCCTCACCCATGTCCTCAGCACCAAAGCATGCCACTCAAAGCAAAAAAAGATAACAACAATCGTTCAATAATCTTACTGAAGCTGGGATCCAAGGCAAAACTTGAGGGTCATGAAAGGTCAGCAGGCTCTGCAGATGAAGATTACCCGTCAAGTCTGTATCAAGGCTGACAGAAAGAACTGCTCCCACACTGGTACTAGGCATTGCCACAGAAAATGTCAGACAGGAGGCAGTGGTTGGGGGCAGCACTTCAGTGTAGAGACGTGCCTTAGAGCCTTGAGGTTTGGTGAAGGAGTCAGCCAACATATAATGACCTGTCATATGTAGACATAAAGACAAAATATGTGATATTTAGACATAAAGTTCAAAAAAAAAAACTTGTTGGTCATATACAAAAAAATATTAGTTAGCAAGTCGTTACAGTTCCGGCATCACAGCAAACGAGCTTGGCCCACAATTACTCAACCGCCTATGCCAATGATTCCAGTCACAAAATGAGTCTTACATTAAAGTATAATGGGCTGATTGATATAAAATAATACTTCAGTCAATTACATTTTGTTTGATCTGCTTACTCTTCCTCTCTAACGGCAGCTTTACAATGGATTGAGAGCAGCACAGTCTAACATGTAATTGTAAAGGGCTTTCAGAGCATGTTTCAGAAAACAGAAACTGGTGTCCTGTGCATACAGTGGTTTACATCGCTTAACTCATTCAGTCCTAAACAACGCATCATGTGTGACTGTATTTACTCATATGCACCAGTCAGAATATTATTATGCTTGTACATTTTTGGTTTGGACACGGCACAGTAAAACACCCAGCAACACACAAGACTCCTACAAAGATGGTTTATTTAGCTCCTGTGGAGGTAGTATGCCCATGAGTTTGCTGCTGCCATTAGTTACTGCATCATGTGGGCATCAGCTATGACGTTCTGGGACTGAAAGAATTAATAAGACTCTAATCAGATATCATGGATTTTCTGTCCAGGACATCCAAGTATGGGAGGTAATAAGTAGACTGATAGATTGGCTGCTGTTGCTTCTCTATGTGGTGAACTGCATTATGATAAAGTGGAAATGGTGAAGGCTCTTTGGGATCAAGTGGACAGTGCCACAGAACAAACTGACTATCCAGACATTGTCAGTCTAAATCAGCCAGGGGTGAGTAGAGGTTCTGGAACATTTTCAAAACTGCGGGGAAAACAGGCAAACCTTTATTCAGGTTGCAACTGGTACTATTAGCATATCAACTCTTCACTGGCTACTGAGGAAGGAGATGGAGATGTGTGGCAATGTCCCAAATGCAAGGATGTCAATTCTTGAGTCATTCATTCATTTATTTCCCTTTTCTTCTTTTGCAGCAAGGCATTTTGTTGCAACTGCACTCAATTCCAGCATTATAGATTTCAGATATAAGGTCCTGCTTCAACCATAGACACATTGTGGTGTGGTGGAGTTTTATGATGTTATCTTCCTATGTTGTTCTTGGTCTACCTCTTGCTCTAAGTCCCTCTCCTCTTTTGGTATATGCCTTGTATCTTATAGCATCAGGAGGCATTCTTTCCAAATGGGCAAACTATTTGATTTGCTGTCTTTGTATGTAATTTTTAATTGGTTCTGTGCAGACTTTATCTTGTATGACCTCATTCCTGATGTTATCTCTTCTGGTCACTCCTACAGTCTTTCTCAAACCCACTGCCTACCCAAAAGCATGTCGTGGGAGGCTACTAATTGGGAGCCTTCTTTAAAGTCATAGTGCATCTGCCTGAGAGGCAAGGAACCTACAGTCTGCATGCAAATGAGTCAAATCTGTAAAATGGATGCGCACGTAAGACTCAGGTTCTGGAATACGACTACACTTACACCTCAAGTCAGAGAGGTTAATCAAAATTTGCAAATATGGCAGTTTTTATACAAACAAATATAAATCAACCACACCTCAAGTCAGACAGGTCAATCAAAGTTTGCAAATATGGCAGTTTTTATACAAACAAATATAAATTAACTATCTTTTTAAGGAAAAACAAAGAACCAAAAGCAACAATTCACTTTTTCTTTCTTAATATTCACTATCTGTAATTGGGTGAAAAGTTATCTCTGTTCATCCACTTCTGGACTTTGATCTTATTTAAGAACTTGAGTTTTGTGTGCATACACACTTTACAGATCTGTTTTACTTGTGTGTAAACTGTTGGTTCCTCACCTCTCGGGCAGTTGCATTCCGACTTTAAAGGAAACACCCTTAATTGGTTATCTTGTACAACATGCCTGTTGGGGGTGGGAACACTGGAAACCACATGGGAAAGAAAAGAAAAAGACAATAGATTATGTCACCTAAAGCAGTCTGCAAGGTGTGATCTGTGCTGGGTCCTCCATTGACAGCTGAGCTGCCTTGGATGATGTCCCAGTCAAAGTCATCATCTCCTTTACTGTTGATGAAGAGGCAGGCACCACTTTCAAAGTCACAAGTTGCTGGTGCAGGACATGCTCCTGGGACTATTGAAATGTCATCTAGTGCAATATCACTGTAATCAGCACCACCCAGAACTCCCTCAAATACAAACTGAAATTAGAAATACCAGAAGCAGCTGCTACATTATCCTGACTCTTACAGTACTAAACAACATGCAATAATCTGCTCTTTCATTCCCTCACACTCCTGCATATCCTGGACAGTATATCTATGCAAGTTCCTGTTGACGTGCTGATGCTTGGCATCCACTCATACCACATTTTTCCATTGTGAATCTTCTGCAGTGCCGGCTGAGAATCAGTCACTATAATTCTTGTAGTTACTTAGTTTTCTGCTATCCTCTTTAGAGCTGCAGTGATGATTCCACCTCTATCCTCATAGAAAGAAAAAAGCACATAATCTTTTCCTTCACTGAAAATCCCAGCCAGATGTTTCACCCAGATGAACAGAACCATCAGCATACACCATTACATATCTAGCCTAGCGTGGTGAATTGATACATGACAAGGCAGATGTGGTCAAGGCCCTTTGGGAACAAGCAACAGAATCAGTAGAGATAGAAGATAATTATGGCCTCGAGAGAATGAGGCATCTGGGTGTAACCAGAGGGTCTGGCCGGCTCACTACAGTCAGAGGAAACGCAAGACAAACATATAATCAGATTGTGACCACTACTATAGTATTGGAACTCTGCACTGGCTGCAGAAGATGAGGACGGAGCTTGCATGGGAATGCCCAGAGTGCTGTGATATCAATTCTTAACTCAACTCAACTTAACTCAACTCAACTTAACTCAACTAGCCTAGCCCTTTCATCTATCAGTTGTTGCACCTTGCAGAAGATGAGGACGGAGCTTGCATGGGAATGCCCAGAGTGCTGTGATATCAATTCTTAACTCAACTCAACTTAACTCAACTCAACTTAACTCAACTAGCCTAGCCCTTTCATCTATCAGTTGTTGCACCTCTAATTCTGTCATACTGTTACATCAAGCTCTATATTCTCTTTCCAGTGTGATAATCACTTATGGAAACTACTATTGTTTGTATCCAATCGACCCATTCCTGTCCCCTGTTTATTTGCTGTACTGAGGCCACCAGCCTGATGGTATCTTTAGCTAGTGCTGTCCATGACTGTCCTGTTTTTAGTTGGTCTCTTCTAGAATCTTTCAGACTGCCACAAAGAGGATGTCTTTCCTCATTAGTAACTAGCATGTATGTCTTGGCGTGTGCTAGTGACAGTATAGACTTTACTTCTGGTCTAAAATGGAGGAATATGTGTGGCAGAATGTTAAGCTTTGTAGTTATTTGTGCTTCTGACAGAGCTTTGCTAATGCAGTTTTCACTGCAAAGGGAAGAATGTTAAAATTGCTTGGTTCACGTTTACCGGCTGTAAACTCTGGCAGAAAGTTCCAGTCATTGATCCACGTCTGAACTTTAGTTTTCCAGAACTTGTGCACATTAGTTTGACAGATCTGGCTTATTTGTATGCAGACTGTTGGTTCCTTGCCTCTTAGGCAGATGCACTCCTACTTCAAAGGAAACTCTAATTAGTTTACTCCCATGACATGCTTGTTAGAGAGAAAGTAGGTCCATTTTTATTTTTCCACAATGGATGCCTAAACCCATATGAGGAACTGTCTGGAACAAAGTGGGTAACATCAAACCAGAGGGTCTGGCCAGCTCACTACACTCAGAGGAAAGGCAAGACGGACATTTAACCAGATTGTGACCGGTACCATGAGTATTGGTACTCTGCGCTGGCTGCTGAAGATGATGCCCCGAGTTCTGTGATGTCAATTCTTGATTCAACTCAACTCAGCTCATGAAACACAGCATCAAATAAAAAACAATAAGAAAAAGTCGGGAGATGTGAACCAGCGTCATTGCACATGGTTATAAACCATAATTGCTCTGCCACCAGTACAGACAGCTGATAAGAATTGTCCCCCTGTGTTGCTGTTCACAGGTAACTCTGTAGCTACAGCGACGTTCCTCCATTTACCCCATAGTGTCAACTCTGGTACCCATTTCCTAGAGGCTGGGTGAACCCAGGGAGCCGCCCGGTTTCGAACACTGACCGCGGGCTGCAGCAAGTTGCAGCTGGATTTGAAAGCGAGCCTCTTATCGACTGCACTAATGCGGCCCCAGCATCAAATAAAGTACACAAGAAATCAGTGTTTTTCTTTACCCAAGATCACCCGTACTCACCTGAAACTTTAGAGGGCTGTCCAGCGTCACCTGGCCAGGCAACCACCTGTTGAGCTGCTCCCCACTTGTGGTCCATATTGGAGTGTGCCTCAGGTTGTTGACCATCTGGTAGACATTCAGTGTTCCCATGTACTGTCCTCGCATGTAGTAGAAGAACTTCAGGCACATGCCGTCTGAACTTGTAGGATTCAATGTTGGGCTAATCAGTCGAGCAATGTCTCCATAGTCTCGGGGGCTAGAAGAGTCGGTGTATATGTAGAAGCCTGAAAAATAAATGATTCACAGTCAGCCAATCATGTGCCATCACCACAATAAAGTTTGGCTGCAACGGATCTCCAACATGCTCTACACCTTGTCTTGGTTGTACACTCTCAAACTGCTGTTCATGCATCTCTTGATGTTGTTCTCCCACTTATAATGTTGTCTTCCTCTTGCTCTCTTGTCCTCGACTTTACCCTCCAGCATGGTTTTTAAAAGAGTGTTATGTCTTTTAATGTGGCTAAAGTATTCCAAATGTCACTTTTTATTTCTTTCAGTAATTCTCTTTTCATTCACAGTCTTTCCTGTACCTCTATATTGGACTGTTTTTGTTTCCATGAAATATGATCTGTTGTTCTGTATATCCACATTTCCAGAGACTTAGTTTGATTTTCTAGTTGCTTGTTTATTGTCCAAGTTTCTGCACAACAGAACAGTGTTGGGTATACATAGCATTTGACGATTCTCATTTTAATGTGTTGTTTATCTCTCTCACTGTCAATAATTTCTGCATCAGATTGAAAATGGTTTTAGCCATTCCTATTTACTCACTGTAAAAAAGAACAATTTGGGTGCAGTTCCAGGAAGTAAAGGCGGCCGGTGTGATGCTGACCACATCACCCATCTTGTGCCGATTGGTCTATAAAAATATAGGTCTAGCCCTTTTTGCCCTTTCGCCTAAAGACGTGGAAAAGGGACATTTACCTGTGTTTTTTTTTTTTACTTAAATAAGAACATTGCTGACATGAGTGGTGTATAGTAGTGCAAAATGAAGCCACTGAAAGCATTTTTTCTCAAGTTACTGGAGTGGTAAAATCTTGAGGTGGCATTCTGAAGTATGAAAACACACAGACAGAAAGTATATTAACTTTTTTTAATATCTAGGGACATGCCAAACTTCGGCACCAATAAAAGAACAAGACTGGAAATGAACAATGTGTGAAATGAGATGTTTGAGAAAAGCAGTAAACATAACAAGAAGAGACCATAAAAGAAATGAGGACACCATTCGAATGGTGGGAACAACACCTGTAATTAGATTTACTGAAAAGCAAAGACTCAAATGGTCTGGCCACATGGTCAGAATGAACCTAGCATTATTGGATGCAAGAGCACATAACATGAGAAGAATGGAAACCCCAAGAGGCAGAGGAAGACCAAGAAGAAAGTAAATAGATGGAGTTAACAAATTGCTGGTACTCAACAATATCCCCTTGTAGCAAGCTAATCAGCACACACTACTATCCAGGACCCCGCCAGCCATGCCTGTGATGCCTAACAGCTTTCAGCAGAGAAAGATAATTAATGGATAGATAGATAGATAGATAGATAGATAGATAGATAGATAGATAGATAGATAGATAGATAGATAGATAGATAGATAGATAGATAGATAGATAGATAGATAGATAGATAGATAGATAGATAGATAGATAGATAGATAGATAGATAGATAGATAGATAGATAGATAGATAGATAGATAGATAGATAGATAGATAGATAGATAGATAGATAGATAGATAGATAGATAGATAGATAGATAGATAGATAGATAGATAGATAGATAGATAGATAGATAGATAGATAGATAGATAGATAGATAGATAGATAGATAGATAGATAGATAGATAGATAGATAGATAGATAGATAGATAGATAGATAGATAGATAGATAGATAGATAGATAGATAGATAGATAGATAGATAGATAGATAGAGATCAAGAGAAATAGAGAGAGAGATGGAAGGATGAATGGATGGATGGATAGATAGATAGATAGATAGATAGATAGATAGATAGATAGATAGATAGATAGATAGATAGATAGATAGATAGATAGATAGATAGATAGATAGATAGATAGATAGATAGATAGATAGATAGATAGATAGATAGATAGATAGATAGATAGATAGATAGATAGATAGATAGATAGATAGATAGATAGATAGATAGATAGATAGAAAGATAGATAGATAGATAGATAGATAGATAGATAGATAGATAGATAGATAGATAGATAGATAGATAGATAGATAGATAGATAGATAGATAGATAGATAGATAGATAGATAGATAGATAGATAGATAGATAGATAGATAGATAGATAGATAGATAGATAGATAGATAGATAGATAGATAGATAGATAGATAGATAGATAGATAGATAGATAGATAGATAGATAGATAGAGAGAGAGAGAGATAGATAGATAGATAGATAGATAGATAGATAGATAGATAGATAGATAGATAGATAGATAGATAGATAGATAGATAGATAGATAGATAGATAGATAGATAGATAGATAGATAGATAGATAGATAGATAGATAGATAGATAGATAGATAGATAGATAGATAGATAGATAGATAGATAGATAGATAGATAGATAGATAGATAGATAGATAGATAGAATACCAAAGGACAATTGTAGTAGTTATAAACTGATGCTTGATGCATTTCTTGGTACACATCCTCATTGTGCAGCAAGTCCATTGCAGAACATCACTCTCACTCTCGTCAACAGGTGTAGCGGACAAGTTCCAACCAGCCAAGGAGTCTAACAGCCAGGATCAGAGATGCTGGATCAACCATTGTGTGTTTTCGTGTGTGTCATGAAATAGGACTGAAAAAGGTAACGAGTGTGGATGGTAATAGACTTAGATTCAATACTTGATAAATATCATCATCTCTTGTTGGACATGATAGCCAGTAGTAGACGTTGACTGGACCAGATTACCGGTGAAAGTTGAATAAAGAATATGAATGAATATCTCGTTATCAACTGTGTGCAGTTAAAATGTCATCTATGTCAAAGATATGAAAAATCCCATAGCAACCAGTTAGCACACCAAGGAGACAATATCCCAGTGCAGTTAGAAGAATGTCATCTATACCATAGATATGAAAAATCCCCTAGCAACCTGTTAGCACACCACGGAGACAATATCACAGTACAGTTAGAATGTCATCTATGTCAAAGATATGAAAAACACCTAGCAACCAGTTAGCACACCAAGGAGACAATATCCCAGTGCAGTTAGAAGAATGTCATCTATACCAAAGATATGAAAAACACCTAGCAACCTGTTAGCACACCACGGAAACAATATCCCAGTGCAGTTTGAAGAATGTCATCTATACCAAAGATATGAAAAACCCCTAGCAACCAGTTAGCACACCACGGAGACAATATCCCAGTGCAGTTAGAAGGTCATTTGTTAAATTACAAAGATTTTGAATGTCAAAATTATGACAAAATTAAGTTCCTTTAAGTAGCTCTGCAGTACGTTTTTGTTGTTGCTGTTTGTTTCTCTTTTGCAAAGTATGTATCACGGAAAGACTGCTATCAATAGAATGGTGTTAAATGGAATAGACAATTTGTTTTATATATCAGGTTATAAATGTACACACATTCATTAATCGGTGATTGCATGATTGAAGTAAAGGTCCCTTCATTTTTAACACCCTTAGGCATATTGGGTATATAGTGCTATAGCTTCATGCCAGCTGCCTTTACTTCCCAGGACTTCACCTGGTACCCATTTAAGGCTGGGTCAACCTGGGAGCCTAGGTCATGCTTGAAAAATTCTGGCTCAGTGTGGATATGAACCCACAACCTTTAGATCTGCAGGTGAGCATCCAGCCACTACACCTTGGTGGCTCCCTGCTGTAAGAAAAGAACGACCCCAAAACAAAACAAAAATTGGTAACAGTTTACCAGAGCTGGTTCCAGTTGTGTGGTCAATGTCAGGGCTGTTTGTGTTAGCTTGCTTTGTGTTTCCTGAGGTCATGACCCAGTCAAAGTCATCTGTTGTGTCTTCGGTAAACCCACACATGTCGTAGTCAAAGTCACAAGTTCCTGAAACAGAATACAAAATATGAAAAAAACTGATAACTTGAATTTCTTCACTTAATAGGATAGGTGCATTGAAAAAAGCCCTCAGCAAACTTTAATTTCCATTACAACATACCATTCATCTTAACATGTCATGCTTCTATTAAAACACACCATTCACCTGATCATATTTTCATTACAACAGACCATTTATCTAAACATATTTCCATTACAACACACCATTCATATAATCTTATTTGGATTACAACAAACCATTCATATGATCATACTGAGATTATTGCAAACCATTTATCTGATCATATTTGAATTACAACAATCCATTTATCTGATCCTATTTCCATTTCAGTACACCATTTATCTGATCATATTTCCTTTATAACACACCATTTATATGAACATATTTCACTTAGCTCCCACTGAGTTTCTCTTCTCATTATCAGGCATAACCTAAATATTTAAATGTCATATAAAATCCTTTCTTCTTCTTCTTCTTCTTTTGTCCAACCGTTTCTATCGTACAATGTCACAGAGAGGATTTAGGTGTAGTTTCCTCTCATTTGCTAGTTGTACAGCTTGTGTTAATGTCATGTGTTTCTGTAGTGTCTCTTTTACTCCCTCCACCCATCGGTTTCCTGCTCAGTCCCTTGACTGCTGTTTTCATGTAGTATGCTGGCTGATTTTGTTGCCTTGCCAAACCATTTGATTCTTGAATGTTCTGTGAAATCATTTACCTGTACTGTGCCTAAATTTGTTCTAAGTTATTCAATAATGACTCTGACTCTTCTTGCCCCCCCCCCCCCCCCCCCAATTCCCGGGCATTTTTATACATTGTATCTCGCATGCTGTATAAAATTCCTTAAAGGGTGTAAAGGTAACAGCATCTTAATTTTGCTAAGATAATCTGGGTAATATAATCTGAGTAATATAAATGAGTCCTCCCTCGAAGGTGTCTCCACCTTGCCGTGGTGGGGGAGCTTGTGTTTCTCAATGACCCTGAGAGCTATGCCAGCGGTAGCACAGCTACCAGTAGACCCTCCTAAGCTGGAAAGGTCGAAGGGTAGAGAACAGACAAAGATTAGAGCAGCTAGATGCTCGTCGCAGATCGGAAGGGATTGGGTTCGCTCACTGGTGGAGCCGGACGTTTTTAAAAAATGACCTTGGCTCTCAGGTCAACCCAGCCCTGAGTGGGTACCAGGTGCAGGCCCAGGAAGTAAAGGCGGCCGGCGTGATGTTGACTACATCACCCATCTTGTGCCGATTGGTCTATAAAAATATAGGTCTAGTCCTATATGCCCTATACGCCTAAAGGCATGGAAAAGGGTCCTTTACTTTTTTCTTTACTGCTCTCATATGGTTGCCCTTCATCTGTATACATGGGTCTCAGAGCCATGCTGTAGCTTCCCAGGACCTCAAAAGGGACTGTAATTTCACCAGTGCTCTTTAATGTGTGCATGAATAAGACTGTAGAGGAAGCACCTGGTGTGGGATGGAAACTGACATTTGCAGATGACATTCTTGCATATAGGCATGGGTGAGACAGGCAACAGACATCTTTATGAAAGTGAATGGACAGCACATGGTGCAACATAACCTAGCATATGATATTACAACTAGTTTGAAAATGGAGTTGAAGACAGTCACAGCAGCTTTCTGTTGGCTTGAAAACCAGCTACACATACAAGTCATGATTGTAACTAACTCACAAAGCATGTCATAAAAGTCGACCAACTGGGGCTTTTCTTCAAAGTCAGAGTCCCTGAGAGGCAAGGAACCAACAGTCTACCTACAAATATGCCAGATCTGTAAAATGATGTGCACACACAATTTAAGTCCTGGAACAAGACTCATGTCCAGAAGTGGATGAACAACCAAAACTTTCCGCCAGAGTTTAGAGCTGGTGAACATAAAGAGATGAGTGGCTCGCTGAAAGGTTAGAATGCTGGGCTCTCATATGAGAGACTTGGGTTTGAATCCTCAGCAAGGTTAGGGATTTGTTGTTGTTGTTGTTGTTGTTGGGAGCAAAAATAAAATCTTAACCTGCACAGTCCACGACAGCAGCACTAGCCAGGCGGCCCTAAATCTTCAGGCTAAAAGATCTCCCTGCCTATGTGACAAAAGTGGTTAACACAGGCAGTAATAGGTAGTTTAGCAGAAAATAAAGAAAAACAAGAATTTCAATTTAAATCTGGCAGAAACAAGGATGTGTAATTATTTAAAGACAATAAATACTAGAAGTTTATTTCAGTGTAAATGAAAGTGTGTAAGTTTACCTCCAGCTTCCACACAAGTCCCGCTAATTACTGAAATATCATCAAGTGCAATGTCCCCTTCATAACCAATGCCCAGCACTGCTTCAAACACAAACTGTAGAAGACAACAACAAAATTTGTTATTTCTGTGACTGACTGTTTTAATAATCTTTTAATAATTTCTTAAATATTAACTCTTAACTTCTCATCCCAAGAACACTATTTAAAAAAAATAGGTCACGACCCTCTTAGAATTCATAGGGAATTTGTTTGTTTGTTGCACAGGTCACTAATAAATGTATTTTATTAACATTGTTATTATTATTATGACTATATTTTTCCTTTAAATATATAAAGACATATGACGTATGAAAGGAGTGATAAAAAATATGAAAGGGTGAAGAATTAAACATACTCATATAAGGTGACCTATGCTGTGATGGACCTTTACCCCAGAAGCTTATGAGAAAATCTGACATCATCTTGGCTTTAAAAAAACTGTTAAGATTAAAGGAAAACTCCTGTGGATGTTATTGGTAATTAATTTATTCATATCCTGACCTAATAAACATATGTGCAGGCATGAACTCAGCTAGCTGCATTAATTTTACATCTCATAAACAGGTCATGGCTAAGGCGTTGCGAGTCTGACTCGTAATCCAACATACCGCGATCGAAACCTGCATGGGCTACGTGGATTTTTATCGTGGTATGGGATGTCGCAGGTCAACCCAGCCTCAAATGGGTACCAGGATAGGCTGTCCTGGGAAAGTAAAGACAGCAGGTGTAATGCTGACCACATTACCCACCGAGTGCCGATTGGTCTGTAAAAACATGGGTGCTCTTCCCATATGCCCGATATGCCTAAGGGCATGTAAAGGGATCTTTACTTTTTTTTTAAACAGGTCATAGTAAGCAAGTCAGAAAAGTGACATTTATGGGAAACTGGACCCACCCTGAAGTGTTTATTTGTCAGCTTTTCGGCATGAAAGGGTTAAAATCAACAAAAACATTTTGTTCTGAAAATATCTGCTTGAACAGTGCCTCAAACAACTGCAGAAGGCTTTAGAAACATGTTATTTCATAAATATTTTGCTCTAATAACACTTCAAACAACAACCCTAAAGAATACAACAGAAGCATGTTATTTCTGCAATTTCTTTAATAACCCCTCAACACATCAGTCCTAAAGAATACAATAGAACCATGTTATTTCTTTAATTGTTTGTGCTTTAACAATCTCTCAAATACTAAAAATGTAGTTTTTTGCTTATCATCATCATCATCATGTAGCAGGTCCTTTGCAGAACGTTGCTCTCATCATGGTCTGTCTGAAAGAGACTCGGTCTCTCGCCAGCTCTCTCACCTCATGTACTTTCATACTCAAGGAGTCACTTATATCCTGTGCCCATCTTCGTGTTGGTCGGCCCCTGCCCCTCCTTCCTGGTACCATGCTTTCTGCTATAATTTTCTCCAGTCTGTCCTGGCGCTTGATATGACCAAGATATTTCAGCTTCTGAGACAGGATGCTGTTTATTAGCCAATCTTCTTTAGCATTTCAGCTCAAAAGCCCCTATTCTCTGTCTTAACTCTTTGAGTCCCAGATGGTTTAGCATCACAGACCCAAGGGGCAGTCAGGAGAGACGTAAAATCAACACATTATGCGTTCAGTGGGCGTCTAGGGAGTAACCTATGAACCTATGATGCGTTCCTTAGGACTCAAAGAGTTAAGGACTGGGAGATAGTCAATGACTCACATCTATATGCTGCTACAGGGAAGATGCATGCTCTCAAAATTCTAATTTTGATCTCCTTGTGGTGCTTAACCATAGACTTTTTAGGATGTTTAATCTTCTATGGCCATCCTCCTCTTAAACAATCTCCATTGCTATTTATTACAGAACCTAAATATTTAAAGTTTGTGACATTTTCAATTTATTGGTTTTTTTAGGTGACAGCAAGTTTTATCTGTGGACATTATTTTCGTTTTTTTTTTTTTTTAATTTTTAAATTTTTTTGCTTCTAGACTTTGGTTTAGTTCTAAGATTTTAGTTTTGCATGCACATCCATTTTATGGATTAAACTTACCATTTGCAGACTGGTGCTGGATCCTCACCTCTCAGACAGATGCACTCTCTGACCTCTCAGACAGATGCACTCTGACCTCTCAGATGCACTCAGACTATGAAGAAAATACTATGTCCATTTTAGGTTGGTCAGACCTTTGGTAGTAAACCTATCTCTAAGTTGAGTTGAGCTGAGTCAAGAATTAACATCACAGCACTCTGGGCATTCCCATGTGTGCTCTGTCCTCATCTTCAGCAACCAGCCTAGAGTTCCAATACTGATGGTACCGGTCACAATCTAGTTATATGTCCGTCTTGCCTTTCTTCTGAGTGTAGTGAGCTGGCCAGATTCTCTGGTTACACCCAGGTGACTTGACTTGTGACTTGTAATCTTGTTTCTCTACTGATTTCGTTGCTTGTTACCAAAAAGCCTTGACCACATCTGCCTTGTCATGTATCAATTAACCACCCAATGATGCAGATCCTGCCAGTCTGCCTGCCTGTTCATTGCCCACTACACCAGTATGCCCTGGAGAAAAGATCCAAAGTATGCTCACTACCCATGACCTTTCCAATGAAGCTTGCCACTCTACTTGAAGCATCCCTGTCTTCACCTTTCTCAGCATGCCTTCAGAGTCTGTTGCAACTACTACATGTGAAATGAATCCACAGTTGAATTTACACAGTCAGTGAGAGCTTGAATGATGAGGAAAATCTTACAAATTATAAAACTAGAAATAGATTAATAGTAGGAGAAGGGGGCGTGTCCCTCAAACAGCAACATCTGGTGTTCACTTTGTGAAACAATCTTGATCTTGCTGAGTGGATTGTCACACAAAGGTGGAATATTGGCCCTAGATAAAAGGTTAGCCTATTTTCTACAATGTCTCTAAGTTTCATCTTATTCTAGCCACTTGTTTTCATGTAATTAATATTTTTGTATATCATATTGGTTTTTGTGTGTTAATGCCCAGGAGCTCAGGTATAGGGAGCAGTTAGGTTCATGGCCTCAGGTCTGGTAGGGTTAAATGCTGCATATGAGGAGTCAGTAGAACTAACTAGAGATGAAAAGTCATTCAGGTAGGTTTAAAAAGTGTTAACTTTCTGCAAAGGACGTACCACATGATGATGGCTATTTCTACAACACACAGTGATGTGTGACATACAGTAACACAAAACTCACTTGTACTTGGATATCCACATTATTGTCAGATTGTATGAACATATTTCCTGGCAACCAGTTCTGACTTTGGTCACCAGACCTCACCCAGCGAGCAGGAGACGGTGTGGCTACAGAAAACAAAACACATATTTGAGTACTGTCTTGGAATCCCCAAATGTCACTGTTAATTTGTTTGTTTAAATCATCCTCTGCAAAACAAAACTGAGTATTGAGGTTATTAAATGTAACTCTTCTCACCCCTAAGTAATGAATGGTGTGTTCTCTTGGTTTAATTCTCTAGTGCCAGCTATTTTCTAATGTGTTGACTTGTTTTGACATTTAGTCCAACATGATAAAGAAATCTGACAACCCAAATGGTCATGTCTATTGTGTATTTAGCCAATGAGATAGCAATGCTTCTTCTTTTTTATGGCCCATTGGTAGTCATGTCTCTTCACATCCTTCTCTCTTGTTTATTTTCAATCATTTCTGCCTGATATGACCTCCCCTGACATGCTGTCAAATTGTCTAGCATCTTTGCTTTCAGCCCCCCCCCCCCCCCCCCCCCCCCCCCCCCCCCCCACTAAACCCCCCCCCCCCCCCCCCCCCCCCCCCCCCCCCCCACCCCCCCCCCCCCCCCCCCCCCCCCCCATGGCCTCTCTTCCCTTATGATTTCCTCCCGTCAGGACGTATGGTTTCTTCTTCTCATGACGTGACCAAAGAAAACAGATTGTCTCCTACTATAACAAGGTAAACAGTTCTTTTTGTAAGTTAATTTCCTTCAAAACATCTTCATTACTCTGTACAAATGTTGAATTAAGAATCAACATCACAGCACTTAGAACACTCCCATAAGTGCTCAGTCCCCCATCTTCAGCAACAAGCGAAGAGTTCAAATGCTCAAACCCCTTTACGAGGAATTCTTATCGTTTGACTATGAAACCACATCTCCGCCACTACCAGACAATTCAAGTGAGTTTTGCAGTTACTGTCATTTAGTGACACAGCCATACCTTTTCATGATGAATATTTTCTTTCAAGCCTATGAAAAATCATTCTGGAACTTATTTTCTTCATCTTCTTTTGTCTTTCTATCCCCTGATGTAGCATAGGCCCTCAACCAACTTACGCCAAGTCATTCTATCCTTTGGTATAGAATGCAGCTCTCCCCATGTCCTCCCCATCTTTTTAACTTCCCTCTCTTGCTCCCTTCTAAATGATTTTTTATTTTTTTGGTATTCCTTTATTCCTATGCCCCTGTAGGTTCCAGTGCAAAGACATTCTAGTTATATTGTTCTCTGGTCGGAACCTTTTTTACGGTTTCATTTCTATTCATACATATAAATGAATGACTTATGTACAAGTCATAAACATATTTGTTGCATGAAATGATTTACTTCAAAGTAAAATCATTAGAAAATAGGGATAAAGGGGATAAAAACATATTTATGCACATATAGTAATTAGCCTCTATACTTTTATGAAGTAAAAGCCAATGTCTAATGAAAACATGTTTGATTTTGGTCACATTATTGTTGAAAGCTGAACTAACAAAATAATGAGCTTGGCTGTATTAATATCAGATTTACAAATGTAATGCTTTTGTACTAATGCTCAATGTCTAATCAACTAGTTAACAGTTTGATTGTAGCAATATCTAAAAGAGAAATTGAATATGTTCAGTGTCTAATCAATTAACTAATGGTTGGTAGTATCAACATCTAATGAAGAAATAAAAAAAAAAAAACTGTGTGGTTGCATCAGTATTCAGTGTCTAATTAATTATTAAAAGAGTTTCATCACATTAGATTCTAATTCTAATGACAATCATCATTATATTGTTCTGCCATTTATATGTCAGGCACACCGTGCAGTAGTAAGTAAAGT